ATATATCATGCATATTATTTAAATATCCCAAAAACCAAAGCATTTAAGCATATTAAACCCTTATAATAAACACCTTATTTTATGCCCAAGAATCCAAAAATCAAATAAAATACAGGGTGTTCCATAAGAGAAAATATAACTTTGGTATGGATCTTAGTTCTGACACACCCTGTACATTTGAAAATTATTTTAAATTATGCACATTGCCTCTCTACATATACCTATAAAAAATTTTGTTTCTACATCTTTCCGTTTTCGTATAATCAACCGAGGCGAATGAGGTGCGCCACTCTGTATGCTATTTATTATGATTATTAAATCGGAATTAAAATATGGCTCTAACTAAAAATATTAAATTGGTATTAAGAAGTCTTTAATAAATAGTATATATAAATTGGATTGATTCTAATATTATAGGTAAAATAACCAATCCAATTACGCCAGTGTCATAAAGTGTTGAGAAACAAATGAAAGAAATGTATGTATATTTCTTTTTCTGGTCCCATAAGTAATTATCCTACCAAATTATCGCTGGTAGTGCCAGTGACGATCTTCTTTTTATGAAACGTAAATTGTGCATATTCAAATGAACGAATCGTAGGAGTCGATTCAATATGAGAAATTGAATCGTGTGATTCGATTCACTAAAAAAATCGTAATGCCCATCACTACTTCCCAGGAATAAATAGGATGATTCCTATAAAACTTTGTTCCCTAATCTAAAGCTGAGTATACTATACTTTATATTTATTATACTATACTTATACTTTATTAACACGTTTAAAAAATAGAACGCTACCGATCAACTGTCAATTGAAATTGGCCATATCAAAAATTAAAATGCTTTCGCGTTCTCTATCATTTTGTTGATATTCCTTTACTTCCTTAGTCATAATTTCAGTGGCTTTGTCTAAATTAATAAAATCAAATATTCAACTCTTCCTTTTCTCCTTTCCGCATATAACAACATCCCTTATAAAGATCGCGGTGGGCTAGCGACGTTCATCTGTTTCTGTTAAAAGGCGACCGCGACGGTTGGCGGTTCGATTAAAACGATTCGTTTCTTCGAAATCCCAACGCCTCCCGTCGGTTTCTTGTCGTTTTTAAATGTTTTTTTAGTGCCTCCGCTGTTTTTCTAACACGTAATTTAGTAGGCTTTGATTAGGATAAATAAACTTCAACAATTGAATGTCTGTGTAATGGTCGGAAGGCGGCGTGCCATGTGTCGACGATGATGTTCTTTTTTTCTTCGTTTCTAGGTATCGTGTCCTCGGCTCGCTTTGATTTACCGAGAAGATTTATTCAAATGTTGGATGCAAGTGATATAGTAGTTTTGTTTTGAGATTTTATAAGTAATCAAAGATTTAAAATGACTGTATTAATCAGAGGAATAAGGAATGCCTAGAAGGAGTTACTGGCGATGACATAATATCTAATTTAAGTAGCGAATTTCTATATTAAACATTATATTATTTAGATTAAAAGCAAAAAGAAAACTCACGAACTTTTAAGGGAGAGATTCTTTTGTCGAGTTTACTCAGTAAAGAGTATAGGAGTTTCCTGTCTGTGTATGCCAGAACTACACCCCTTTATAAAATGCCATAGTTTTTTATTTAGTGGTAGATAACAGAATTTACATGTCCTAATATTCTCATATTTAACTAAATTATTTCACAAATGCTGAAAAAAATCAATTTTCCTAGACCAAGCTACGAAAAGGCTTATAGGATGGCGGACCTTATTCGCCTCGGTTGATAATACACTTGTCTATTATAATCAAGGATAATACGAAACCGGAAAGATGTAGAAACAATATTTTTATGGCTATATGTGGAAAGGCAATGTGCATAATTTAAAATTATTTTGAAATGTGCAGGGTGTTTCAGAACTTCAGATCCATACCTAAATTATATATTTTCTTAGGGAACACCCGGTATTTTATTTCATTTTTGATTTCTTGGACCTAAAAAAGGAATTTATTATAAGGGTTAAATATGTTTAAAAACTTTGGTTTTTGAGATATTTAAAGATGTTTAAATATGCATGTTATAATAGAAAAGATTATCAACACTCTGTACATTACTTTTCAGAATTAATGCTTGTGAGTTTAAAAGTAGAGAAATAAACTTTACTGAAAAATTTGTATACAGGGGTGCCAAAAATTGCTGATCTATTATAAATATTTTAACACTCTTTATTTTTTAAAACAAATAGAAGCAGATTTAAAAGATATTTCAAACTATATTAGTGTCCTGTACCTACCTGGCTCAGATTTTGAGTAAAAAGCGATTTTTCAATAAAATGTCAATTAAGATGGCTGGTGTCGCCATAGCAATTTTCTAGTGACAGTTAGTAGCTATTTTCAAAATCGACATTGATTTATAGACCTTATTTAAATTTGTAACAGTTTACTTTTATTTAATTTACTTACAATAATTTCATAAGTAAGTATTTATTATTTTGTCAAGAAATATGAAGCAGTATCTGCTGGCGGAAGGTATGAATATGTTACTATAGTGATTATTTTGTGAGGAAAATTGCATGTTGTTCTGAATGGTTTATGCTCAAACATATCCAAATAGGAATCTTCTTGGTAAGCTTTCCTTCCTCCCCACATATACTATGTGTGTATATTTTGTATGAACATCTTTCCGTTTTTATATAATTAACCGAGGCGACTGAGGTGCGCCACTCTATAAGGATGATAAAAAATTGTTATGATAAAGTATGCTTTACATGACAGGTAAATAACGATTCTTGTAATAAATTACAAACAAATTTTTACCTTTAAACAAATAATGGGTGAATCTGTACATATTTTCTCTTCATATAAATATCACTTTTTGTGAACGACTAGAAGAAATAAGAAAACCTAATAAAAAATGCACGCACAAAAGTACGGTGGGCCATTTCTCTGATACCAGGCATAAGTGAGTAAATGAATAGAGTTTGAACTTCCATTTTTAGAGGCTGTGGATATGAAGAAGACGCAGCAGAACACACATTCTTTTCTTCTTCACCACGGACAAACATACGCAGCCTAAAATTACGCCTATGTCGTAAAATTACGACATAGGCATAATGACGCCGGAAAATGTCCTGCACAAAATGCTCCAAAGTGAAGCAAACTGGAAAAAGATTGAAATGTTTGTGGTAGGAGTGCTACGTCTTAAGAAAGGGATGACACCTGGGTCACTATGGCGACCCAAAAAGAGTCTTAATAGAGATCGAGCTCACAAGCGTAAATACTAGGGTAAAGCGGTCAAGACTAGGGTATTAAATATCATCATTGTTGCAAAAAAGATATAAAAAAAATAAAAAATACCGTTTCTATAATATCGAGGGGAATACATATGACGTATTTTTTGAACAAAATGGGACCTAGCTAAATGAGGCCAATGAGGTATTTCTCAAACAAAAAAAATTCAAAAATCATACAAAAATACAAACGGTTTTCAAATTCTTCTCTCACTTTTTGGAAAGTCTCTCTCGGAATATTTCGACATGCTTCAGTTATCCTAGCTTTGCCGCAATTCTTGCAACGAATCTGGTTTTGTCTTGTAGACTATGGATTTAGTGTAACCCCACAAGAAAAAGTCTAAAGGAGTGAGATCAGGTGACCTTAGCGGTCATTCGATTGGATATATATATTCCCTTCTGCCAATCCATTGCCTTGGATAATATCTACCGCCTTGTGACAATAGAATAATGCGGAGGGTCTCCATCTTGCTGAAAGTGTATGAGGTCTTTATTAAGAGTTAAATTTCCTACCAAATCTCTTTGATTTTCAACCTCATTTACAATGGCTGGCTCTATCAAATTGTTCAGTATTTCCACATAAGCATCACCAGTCAAATTTCCGTCGATGAAAAATGGACGTATAATTTTATCGCCTAGTATTCTGCACCAAACATTGAGCTTTTGGGGATGTTGGGTGTGTCCTTCAACAACAATATGCGTATTCTCATCGCTCTAGTATCTGCAGTTCTGCCTATTCACATTTCCGTTTAAAAAAAATGAGTACTCATCATTAAAACAAATATTTTTACTGAGTGAAGGTTCCCTTCGAATTTCCTCTGTCATTAGTTCACAGAACTGAATTCTTTTATCTGGAAAGACGTCACCAAGTTCCTGCAGAATCTTCAATTTGTAGGGATGGAATTTGTGCATTTTCAATACTCTTCTGACAGATGTTCGAGTATACCTGTGATTGATGCCAACTGGCCTGTTGATGCCTCTGGATTGACCGATACCTGACCAATAAATTCCATCTGCATTTGTTCATTCAGTACCTTGGGCTGAAACTCTGTAATTAAATAGCGATCAGTAGCAATGAAGAATACTGACCCTGGCCGTACAAACTAAACGGCAAGCGACAGTGTTCTTCATCGCTACCAATCGCTATTTCGTTACAGAGTTCCACCCCTGGGCCCTGTCCGTTTTTATTTTTGACCGATCCAGTTTCTTTAAACTTTAGAATAAAATCTCTAGAAAGTATCTGTAGTTCTCTAGAAACTTCTAATGCACGCTCAGCCTGGGACATCCTGTATATCTATTGCATTTTTTTGCCAGACTGCGTTATTTTTACCTGACAAATGTCGCATACTCATTAGTTTTTTAATTGAAAGCTGGATTGAAAAACGCAATGTAAAAATAACACTCTTTAACTTTATTGAAATGGAGAATGCAAGGAATAATAGATCTTCAAAAATCAGTTGCTACAAAACAAAATCATTTCCCACCCTCCGACAATAAAAAAACACCTAACGAACCTAAAGAAAACTAATTAAATCCGGAACGTATTAACAACAAACCGCCAATGTTTACCTAACGTTTTGTCTATTACCGTCGCGGCCAACCGCTGTTCTCGTTCGGTAGGGCCCGCCCCGAAAAAACTACACTTTAAGGCGGCTTAAGTCTGGATGGGCTGAGCCGAGATCTAGAGTGGGAGAGTAGTGGTACGTGCGTGTGGGTACGTGTGCCAGGAAATCACTTCCAGGCGGGATAGATCGTTTGGAATCGGTACGGTAATTAGAGTTGGTTGCGGTGATCGATAAAATTTGGGTTCGGGAGTGATATTTCTACTATTCTGGAAAACTACTGGATTTTAGTCCTGCGTTTAGTGATAAATATAAAGTGTTGCTGTGGTTTGTGCTTTTTAATAAAAGGAAGTAAGTAAATTATGTAATATCATACCTTATTCATTACCAGCTGAATAGTTCAGCTTCAGTACCAGAATAGTCTCGTTTGTTTTTTAAACGAAGCTTTAATGGAGCTCAGAACTAGACTTTTTGCATAACAGATAAGCAAATTTCTTGCTACGTAGCATAGAGAAAGCTCGTAAATTTTTTTATTATTTACTAAAATTTTTATTATTGATTAAAATTTTTATTTTACATGTATGTGTTTTCGGTTTTGTGTTTCGGCTACCTATGTGTTTTCGGTTTTTTTGCTTGTGTTCATTATTTGTGTTCATGCTTACTTTCTCGTGACTTAATAATTTTATATTTTTTCATTTGAAAATTTTTCATTGTATTAAAAAATTATTTTTCTACATACGTCAAAAAATGACAAGGTTCACGAATTGATAGCAATGTGCGAATTGACACATTTTTTTCATTTTCCTACGTTACCATGACGTAGTCCTACGGTGCGCGAAGTATATAATGCGCGAAATGCCTATTTTGCACACTGCGTGTAAATTATATGGGATTTTGGAATTTTGATTTTTGGAAAATGAGACGAACTAAATCATAACTAATTATTTATTTCGAAATATTCAAGAATAAACAAATAAAAAATATCAAACTTAACACTAATGCATATTCTAGTTATTATTTACAATATTAGCATTAATAGTACAACAAACAAAATACATTATATACGTATATACATATATACGTTCGTGTACAAAAGTACACGAACCAATATTTAATTCTAAACTAGATAGTTCTGATTTTGCTTGAGATGTGAGGGTTTTGGGACTTGAGACACTATCCAATTTTAATGTAGAGGTACTTGATCCCGGTATTTGACACTCTAAAATTTTATTTGATATTTGAATTTTATTGTTGATAGAATCCTCGACGTATCCCTCGGCCACTGTCGAAAATTTCCATCCTCAAACTAAATATATCACCCCCTGCTGAAGTTATCCGGAGACAATGCCCAGTGTAGACCTCATAATCTGGCAGCTTCAAGTGTTTTGCTATCATGCTAGGTATCTTACCAATAGAATTTATGCCGACCACTTGGTTAACACATCTTTTATTCTGATATTTTAAAAACAATCTGCGACTGGTAGCATTTCTTGGACGAAGAGCTGCGTATTTTCGGTAAATCTCAATATAATTCAAATTTGACATTGTAAAGACTCGGTCTATGTTTGTTTTTGTATTGGGTACTTTACCAATCAAAATTGAATCTTTATCTTCTATGTTATCGACCATCATTTTGGTAAGTTCCTTACGGCGCGGCGGCAAGCACCAGAAATACCAAGTATTAAAACGACCTAAAAGGAAATCAATGAAGATGTTTAGTAATAAAAAAAACACATTCCAAGCTCACGCTTTTTTTCGAAACAATAAGATAATAATACTAATTTTTAGGGATATCCCGATTTTAATGTTTGTAGAAAAAATGTTGTTTTTATGTTGTTTGATGTGAAATTTAAGTTACCTATACTTTTTTCTTTATTTGTGTTCATGTTAATTTTTTCATGACTGATTACTTAATAATGTGATATTATTTTCAATAAAAATCTCAATTAAAATATCATTATCAATTTTACTTTAAAAAACAATTGTAGAATTTGTAGAATGTTTAGGAGGGGAGTTAATCACCGCGACCTTATAGATCTATTGTGTGTTCCCCTTTCTTGAGTTATAACGAGTTATAACTCATCATACAGTCTCAGGGCTTTAACAAAAGCCAGTATCTGAGACGGCTCCACAGAGGCCAGCTCTCCATCCTCGACATCAGACGTACCAAGGTTCATGGCACGAATGGTCGTCGTCTCGGCGCACTGAGTGATACGGTGTTCTGGTGTTTCCCCATTTTTCCCACAAAATCTGCATTCGCCGTTGTTTCTCAGTTTCAGCCTACTGAGGTGTTCGTTGAGGAGACAGTGTCCTGTTAGAAACGCCGTTACAATCCGAAGATTGTTTTTACTTAAATCAAGCAAAACCTTTGATTTTTCTCGGTCGTAAGTTCTGAGGAACTTTTTCGAGTGTCTTAGACCGTTTGAAAAACAATCCCTTGCTTTCTGATTAATGAACTGCACCACCATTGGCCAGAGGCATGGTACCGAACCAGAGGCGTGGAAGAAGTACCGAACCAGAGGCGCGGTACCGAAATTCCCGGTTCCGAAAAACAGCTCCGGTTCCGGAAACCCTAGTGGTAATGTCATAAAGTTTGGACAAAAGAATATGTATATAATAAAAATTGGTCAAGGTAAACGATTAAAAAGAAGTCGCCTTGACTACCATTAGAACCTGCCTTACTACGGCTCCAATGTCATAGCAGCGTAAAGTCCTAACGGTTTAACCACCGAGGACTTGAAAGATTCTATGTAAAATTCTTACTTAAAAGATAATGTTTAGTGGAAATACTTTTTTATTTATAAACATTTATTCTGTTAAATGTGAATGAATGTATAATTCTGTTTTTAGTATTTGTTCTTATAGCGTCAACATAGATACATTATCTGTAAAAATTTCAACTGTCTAGCCATATCGGTTCATAAGATAGATCTTTGTGACAGACGGACGGACGGACGGACAGCGAAGTCTTAGTAATAGGGTTCCCGCTTTTACCCTTTGGGTACTGAACCCTGAAGAACTTCTGAAAAGAAGACTTCCATTGTATTTATTTTATGCACCAAATTTTTGAAGAAAAAAAGTTTTTCTCCAGAATGTTTTTGCTCAAAAACTATGCGATGTGGCGTTTTTTTACAAGACTGACAAAAATTACAATCGATTGTCATTCCTAAGCCGTCTTTGACACCGTTTTGCTAATATTTGGTCTATGTAACTACTATTTTATTTATGAACTATAGACAAATAAATTATCTCTGGCAATTATTTATTTTAAATAAATACAAAAGATAGCATTTAATTATAATATCCGCCAAAAACAATAAATGCTTAAAGCTAAAGTTAAATATACTCTAAAGTATTTTCAAAACAACAGTCGTGATTGTTTTCAGACCTTTTCTAATTTTAAAACATTCAAGGAACCTCTCTCAATTATAACGTTTATCGAGATAGGTTTACATAAAACATGCGCTTCGTGCTTATTTACGTAATAAACCAAAAATATGAGCAATCAAAAATTCGCACGATCTGAATTGTCATCTAAATGCAATTAGACCCCTAATTTTCTTATAAACAATAAGAAATGTAGTTAAGTACAGGGTGTTCATGCAGATTCTTGCCAAAAACTACACTCACCGGCACGAAAAACGGGTATCTTAAAATTTGGATATATAATGTAAGTACAATATATTTTGTTCTAATGGGCCGATTTTGATGATTTTATAAGCACAGTGTGCAGCTAAATTATTTGACTTTTTAGTATTTCTTCTTCAATTAAAAAAAAAGTTTCCATCTGTCAATTATACGAGGGAAAACCAAATGTTGATACTATGGTGAAAGTTTGAAACGCCCTGTGGAATATGTTAACATGGCAAGGAATTTAAAAATCATTTTATCATCTAGATAAGTCCATAGTTCCATAACTTTTCTTTATTTGTGTTCATGTTAATTTTTTCATGACTGATTTTTTAATAATTTTATATTAATAAAGATTTCAATTTTTTATCCATTTTACTTTGAAAAACAATTGTAGAATATAAACATAAAAAATGTTTAGGAGGGGAGTTAATCACCGCGACCTTATAGATCTATTGTGTGTTCCCCTTTCTTGAGTTATAACGAATTATAACTCATCATACAGTCTCAGGGCTTTAACAAAAGCCAGTATCTGAGACGGCTCCACAGAGGCCAGCTCTCCATCCACGACATCAGACGTACCAAGGTTCATGGCATGAATGGTCGTCGTCTCGGCGCACTCAGTGATAAGGTGTTCTGGTATTTTTTTTGTGTCTTTGTTTATTGATTTATCACATTAATTTTATTTGTATTGGAGATATTCGGTTTTGAATAAGACAGTAACGATTTACAGCAAATTTAGCATTGATTTTGGGTCGTCAAAAAGCACTTATAAAATAGTGTTTTTCTACGACTAGCCTAGAAAATGCAGTTTGACATACGGAAAACTCGATCTGAAATTGGCGTTTTGCAAACTGTTGTGTGCTAAGGATTTAGGATTTAGTGCACTAACTAATCGAAAAAAATTAGGGATATTGTGAATTTTCTATGAAAAAAAAGTTTATGAAAAAAAGTGTATAACGTACATTTACTTCCTCTCTTTACTTTCTCTGCCCTTTCAGAAACGAAACTTTGAAAATCTTTTGAAAAAAAAATGTTTAATTCATTTTTACAGACAATCTTTCTCTAATAATGTAAGATTGATAATATCCAAAAAGAAAAAAAAACTATTAATTACTACGAGTAATTCCACCTCTATTGGTCATTACTGCTTCAACTCGACGAGGCATACTTAAAATTAAATGCAAGGCATTTTGGTCGAAGGTATCCCATAAATGTGGAAGAACTCGCTTCAGTGACCACGTTCATGGGCAATTAGTGCTTTTCCAAGCATGTCCCAAGCATGTTCGATACAGTTTAAATCTGGAGAGAGTTATCATCTAGAAATCTGAAATTGGGTACCAAATTCCAGCGATAATCATTTACCATGTGTTATCAATGATGTCGTCAGCATAAATTTCACCTGTCTTTATACCTTCACAGACATACAATTCCGTTCGACCTCCGTAGAAAATTCCACCCCAGCTCATTACACCTCCACCTCCAAAGGGATGCACTTCTTGAACATATCGGTCGTTAAGTCTTGTATTTCTTTGTCTCCACACACGAACTGTATGTCTGTCAGTACGAAGACAAAAGCGGCTTTCATCGCTGAACATCACAGTATACCACTCATCATTCCAGTTAGCTCTTTCATTCCTGCGGTCAACGGAGGGCGTCTTATAGGCCTATAGTAATGTAAACCTGCTTCTTTTAATCGAGTTAAGGCCGTCCGAGAGGTAATACGTACTCTGCTCACAGCGAAAAGGTCCTGCCTGAGCAATGTGCAGTTTCTTGCAGGATCCATCCTAGCTCCCCTCAGTAAGCTTCGGTCCTCCCTAGCATTTGTTGATCTCGGTCTACCGTTCCTATGCCTCTCTATGACAGATCCAGTCTCATTAAACCGGGTTTTAAGTCTAGAAATTACACTTTGGCTGACATTAAATCGATCAGCCACATCAATCTGTCGCGCACTGCCAATAAGCAACCCAATCGCTTGATTTGCTTCCTCTACTGTTAAGTGACGTCTGTTCATATTATCGATGACAGAATAACCACCGCATATATCCACAATATCGCAAACTGCCGCTTAGCAACGCGCCAACAAGTTCTATTGTGAACAAAAATTAAATGTACATTTTTGAAGATAATGCTTTTTATTTGTTTGGGTACAATTTTTTATGTTTACAAACAGTATTTTTTTTAAACACAAACGACATAGGTATTAATAGCTATAACACATTTTTCCTGAAAAATTTTCTTCCTGGCGAAAACACAATATCCTTAACTTTTTTCGATTAGTTTATAAAATTTGTTTTTAAATTCCTTGCTTTGTTAACGTACTCCGTAAGGTGTTTCAAACTTTCACCAAAATGTCAACATTTTGTTTTCCCGCGTATAATTGACAGATAGCAACTTTCATTTTTAATTTAGAAAAAGGTACTAAAAAGTCAAATAATTTAGCTACAAATTTCTTAAAAAATTATCGCAATCGGTCCACTAGACCACAATATATAAAACTTTAAAATACATAAAAATTTTAAGGTGCCCTTTTTCGTCCTAGAGAGTTTATATCAGTAATTATAAACTTAAAAATCTAGTCGCCACATTCTAAGTTATAAAATTAACGAATAAAAAAATTACGAAATTAACGAAATAACGAAAAATCATCTAAATTGACAAATTTTGTCTTCAGATGCAATTACAGAAAGTTTATGTTTGTGATTTGTAATTAAAAAGAAACAATAATTTTCCAACTGCTGCAGTCTGCAGCCACAGTTATCAAGACTTTGGACTCTTTGGTCGTATCATGTTGAAAAGAGTTAGCAATGAGTAGTATCCAGCATATCAGTGGTATTGTTTTATTTTATTAATTAAACCAACTAAACGAGTAGCTTCAGGCTAGATCCGACTCTAATATCAATCACTTCAACTACTATTATGAGGGTCTCCGCTGAAGTTAGTTTAGGATTCTCTAATTAGTTGTGAAGATAAATCAGTTCGGGAAGTAAAAGCAGTCCTAACACTAAAGTTTGTTATAGTACAGGGTGAAGAATTAATTCACTGAAACAAATTTACATTCAGTAGTGTAATTTTCGTAGTAAGAAACGATTTTATTATTTGAACATTTTACACTCACAGGCACGAAAAAAGGACACCTTAAAATTTTCATGTACTTTAAAATTATATATATTGTGTTCTAGTGGACCGATTTTAATAATTTTTTATGAAATTTGTAGGTAAATTAAATTTTATTAAAATTAAGTTAAGTTTGAAAATGACGCTGACAACTTAAGGTATGTCACTTTTTGACTGGTGTTTGATTGTTACCTATTCAGTTTTAATTTAAAAATCGATTAAGTTTTTCTCAAATTACCTAAAATCGGCTTGTCCAAAATTGTTCAAATTTGGCATGTGTGTTTACCAAATTAATGTAGACCTTTAAAAAGTATATTTACGACTTCGCTATAAAATCCATAGGGGAGCCAATATCTGGACAGTTCAAATTTTGCAGGGGATTTCCTATGTTCCCAACGACGATGGAACACCCGGTATAGATGAATAAATATAACTGAATATATTATACGACCGCTAGGTTTTTTTTTAGAGGAGGAGGAAATCTTGCATAAGACGGAGTGTCAGATTCCTACTGACTAAAACCACCTCCCCTTCTCTACGACACATCACGCCGGTACCGCTTTCGCATTTCTTCGACGTGAGGACTGTCTACGTATTTCTACGTGCTTCTTCCTCTTTAGTTTTTATGATTCCTCTTATCACTGTATAGGCCAGAGTCCAGTTTTTTTCTCCTCCTTTCAGGCTATTCATCATAGTTTCTGCTGTAAAAGGAATGCTCATAGTTATATAATACTGATGTCAACACCGACCATCTTAGACATTCGGACAAGGTATGTTGAGCATCATCTAACTCGTTACAGTATACACAATGGTTTGTTGGTGATTTCGTTCGATTAAATAAATAACTTTTGAAACAACCATGGCCCGACAGGGTCTGGGTGGTATAATAATCTACTTCACCATATGGCCTCTCTACCCATTCTCTAATATTAGGAATTAAATTATACGTCCACCTTCCATACTTGCCGTTGACCCATTCTTAGTAGGTTTCAACTCGTTCTTGAACCAAGAGATGCATTGGGGGTATACCCGTTATAACGCGAAAAGCCTCTGCAGAGATGGTTCTGTAGGCACTGCTGACTCTTATAGCCGCTGTACGCTGTATACTGTTTATTTTCTGCTTTATTATTATTTTCCATTGCCTTGTACCATATAGGTGCAGCATATAGAAGTTGGGAGTGAATGAACCCTTCTCTTAGAAGCTTTTGATCCAGCGGCATTTGAAAGTAGGCGCGACAGTACAGCTAATGTTTTGCTTGCTTTGGTTACCGTTTTATCAATGTACTCGCTAAATTTCATTTTGGTATCAAGCCATACTGATGGTTGCTGCGTTTAATTTCTACGTCTTCAAGGTTAAAATGTATTTCTGAAATTTTCCTTTTGGTTGTCAACAAAATTGCCTCCGTCTTGTGTGGGGCTAATTGAAGTTTATTTTTTTCATCCAATTTAAGACTCTAATCAAACTAGTGTTGGCAGTGTTCATCGGTGCCTCTTCAGTTTTTGCAACTACCACCATTGCCAGGTCGTCCGCAAATCCAATTAGTTTGGTACCCTCAGCCATTTTTGTTTCAAGAAGGTCGTCGTATAAAATATTCCACAGGGTGGGACCCAGTACCGAGCCCTATGGTACCCCACTATTAATCTCCACAATTTTAACCTGGTTATCTGCATCTAGTATCAAGTTCCTGTCTGATAGATATGATGCGATAAGTCGCATTAATCTCTTCTCGATGCCTCTCTTTTTTAATCTATCCAGAATAATTTGCCAGGATGCGCTATTAAATGCGTTTCTTACATCTAGAGTTATCACAGCACATAGCTTTCGATTGTTCGGTGCGTAGTCCGCTGCTTCTAAAGCCTTTTTTAGCAATTCAGCAATTGCTCCAACCAAAATGCCCAATCCGGTCACTTCCTATCACAGCGTATGTTTAACCCATACTACCCACATCTTTTCTTTCCATTGCCGTTGAAGATCACACAACCACGGCCAGAGAAACCGCCTTATTCTTATATCGGGACGGCCTAGGTTCATCTAAAATTTAGAATTAGTATTAATTAACGATAATTAAAAAGTTGCTAGAACTTACCAAAGGGATTTTTAGCTATTATAGACTTTTCTGTTTCAAGAGGTTCTGATTCGCCCTCTTTATTTACAGCCTTAACTTTGAATTTGTAAGGTTTGCCCTCTTGTAAGCCAGTTATATTTGCTTCTGGTTCAGTACTTCTTCCACAGGGTATCCATTGACCAGTTGTTGGATCGAGCTTTTCGATTGCGTAATGATCAATTGGAGTACCACCATCATCATCAGGTTTCTTCCATTTGAGCTTGCAACCATGTTTAGTTACATCGGTTACATCTAAAGGTCCTTTAGGTGCAGATGGCTTTCCAAGAATAAGCAATTCAGCAATTGCTCCAACCGTTTGTCTGCCTTTTCTAAAACCAAACTGATAGTTTGAGAGCCCTCCTGTTCTTTCTAGTTCATTTAGTTTATTTAGTATCAAGTGCTCATATAGTTTACCCTGTGTATCGAGAAGACTAATCGGACGGTAGGCTGCTGGACTTCAAATTCTACTTTCACCCTTTTGAAGTAGGATCGCTAGGTCTATTTGACTAACAAACGAACTATCATCAGTTCTTTTTGCTTCTACTACAAAAATCGGCTGCTATTAGTTAAAAATTATAAAATTTTATTTTTATCTAGATGTCTGAAAATTGGTACACTTATATAAAAATAAAAAAGAAACAACTTTTTCAAACAAAGTTTTTCGAAATTCTACCAGCAAACCCATTTTTTAGCCATTTGTTACCTTCAATGTCAAATTTGACAGATACCCGGGGACAACAGTCAAAAGTTTCTTTCCTTTTCAAAGCAATTTTTAATCTAAATTGATCTAAATCAAAATAATAAGCAAAATAATAATCTATTGCCAAAGTCAAATTTCTCAAAAGTCAATAAATAAAAAAGTTCCGTGTGATGCAGACTTTATCTGTGACACTTTATATTAACTTTGACCTTCTTTTCCAGATTTTGTGAAAAATGTTCCATATCCAAGCTAATCCTGGATCTATCCTGGATCCAAATTACTACTGCCTGGACCGACTCAACGACTGTCTCCAAAATGCCCAATCCGGTCACTTCCTATCACAGCGTATGTTTAACCCATACTACCCACATCTTTTCTTTCCATTGCCGTTGAAGATCACACAACCACGGCCAGAGAAACCGCCTTATTCTTATATTGCCTTAATTGCCATGGCTATTTCGTCTAGTCCAAAGCAAAGATTGACACTTTCAGGAATATACAGGTAAGAATATAAACCTAAACAAGATTTATTCTTTCTATTAATTCAACTGGTAAAGGGCCCCATACACTTCGGTTATATTGCAAGATTTTAACCGAACAGGTAGAACTTAAGTTTGTTCAATTCAGTTGAAAACGTCAGTGCATGTGAGTGTTCGGTTCAGTATGGCCGGTAAGGTTAAAATATCTGGCGACAGATACCTACGGTTGGAGCTGTTCATTCCTACCTGATGTTATATAAACATAAACCGGCAAAACCGTGCAGTTTTATTTAAGCTGTTCTTCGCCAGTTCTATATATATTTTTTTGGGAACATTGCACCTATTCTTTCTACTCCTTTTCTGTCACTGCTAGAAAGTTGTTTCTTGAATGTATCGTTCTTAACAACGGCGCTTATAAAATGAACTGATCAAAATGTGGCAGTGTGTGGAGGTTGCTTGCCCCTGCGCTCTACCCGAGCGGTTTTAACTGCACGGTTAAAACCGAGCCAAATAACCAAAGTGTATGACAGCCTTATATGTTAAATAAATATTTATCTTTCATTGTTTTTATTTTTACCAGCATTTATTAGAAGAATTAATAACTTTAGAAAGAGACTTGTTTCCTCTATAAGTTCAAATAATTTAAACAGAGTTAATAATTTGTTGTATAGAGCGTTTTATATCATAATTCGTATAATCGTTGATTGAAGAAATAAGATGTGCAACCTTATTGGCGATTTCGAGGCACACAACCTATCCGAGATATAGCTGGCAATACCGTCGCCGCTAGCCAACCTGTCCGAGATTTAGTTTAGCACTGGGCCGCTGCGCGGAAGAATACTACTCTAGTTCTGCTCTCAGTCGACAGAGTGGGTGTGTGCTGGAGACAGTGTTGCCAGAACTACGGATTAATTCGTAGATTTGCGGATTTTGGGTACAGTAAGTTAGTAACACGGATTTTCTATCATTAAACAATTTAATATAATATTATATTATTAAACAAAGAACGGCGTCAGAGTTGACTTGGATTGAAGATCGCTATTATCTCATATGTAAAATATTATAAGCCAACTAAACGACTTTTTTCGATCATACGAAATATTCAGCACCTATAACATTTTTTATTTTTGTTGTTTATTCGATGTTTAACACGAATAAATTTTCAATACATAAACGCGGATTTTTCATCCAAAGACATTTTCGTCAAACTTATTACAGATATTACACATTTTAATATGGCAACTCTGTCGCTTTCAGTTTCACACCATCTTCGATATGCCTTCGCTAGCCCAATTAGAGAAAATTAGTGTTTTATGCGTTGGCTGCAAAACGAGTAGACGCTCCACCATACAGCTCTTAGAGGAAATCAAATCAGCCTGTCACGATATTTGCCCAACAGGTTGCGTATCTTCCCAATCCTTTCATTCAACGGTATAATTTTATAGGACATTTAAAACTATAGAAGAGAACAGATGTATTCATTTAAAATAAGGAAGTTACTTTCAGCTCCCGTATTTCCGCATTACTGAAAATATTTTTTGACTAAAAAAATATCTCATTAAGACATTGATGTTCAAAAAATCACCCGCTCAGTACTGTACTTTTCGAAAAATTTGTAATCAAAACTCGAACAAGACATCTCGTATCTGTTGTGAAAAAAAAGTGGGAAATCCAAGTAAATATTAACAATCACTATAAAATGCTAACAATTACGCATTAGACCAGTAAATTTCATATTTTAAAGAAATTTGGCGCCTTTAACTAGTAACTATTAACAGTCGATAGTGGGAGTAATATATATTAAAATTACCAGTAAAAGTTATTCTATTGTACAATAGGAAGCGCGTTGGTCGAAGTTGAAACAAATAAAACTTTGGAGAATATTAAATCACTGATTGGAGCTGATCCACCCGTCTTAAAATTACAAAAAAAAAACGATAACGGAACAGAAACACCAAAATTGAAATATTTGCATTTATAGTTAACCTCAAACATGTTTAAGCCGCTACCGGGTAAACTGACTCTCAATCGAAACGTTGCATGAATAAGTTTTGAATGCGAAGAGTTGCATGAATAAGTTTTGATTTCTTTGGTTTCAACCTTTTTTTCTCTAAATCTTTTTTTTATTTTAACCCTCTACTGGCGTGGTGAATTTTTGTACTACTTATGGCATTCTGGGGTCAGAAACCGTTAATAATTTTAAAATATCTACTCTAAATACAAAAAATATTCATTTTTTAATTCTCCATCTATTGAAAAAATAATATACAGGGTGTTCCATTTAAAAAAAGAAGAAAAATTATTTTCTATTTTAGAAAGTTTGGCGTAAAATTTTGAACATCCTGTATGATATTTGATTACCATATTTATAGCAAAGTAAGTGCATACCATCTAAAGCATAGACTTAAAATAAAATATAGACTGAGCATCTCATTCATAAATAGCTGGAACATGCGGTCAGACACTGTCTTGTTATTGTTGTGTTATTGTTTTAGGTTATAACGAGTGCGACACGAGCGATAGATAGGTTGTGTCTGTCGTAACGGTCGTTCCCTGACGACTCTGCCGAGAAACACAACACTGTCTTTCGTTTCTCAATACACCTGAACTCTCCGTATCATAGCCGGGTAATTTTTTTATTTTAATGAAGCTATAATTAAATTAAAAATATATCGTATTTAAACTTTTTTATATTTTATTAAGATTTTTTAAATAAAAGTTTAGAAAAAACAATTTAGAGTCCAAAAAGGATAAAAATAATAAAATACACGTTATAGAAGAAATTTTATCATCGAAATTAGGTAATTTTTGAAATTAATAATAAATTATTAATTTTAGTCAAACATTTACAACCCCTAATATTAATCAAAACAGGATCTATTCCACAGATATAATAGAATCGGCAACAGGGAGAGAAAAAAAATATGATTGTTGTAATTTTTTTTCTGGTTAAGTGATGTCTTATTATGTAAATTAGAGCAAACATAAATCTGTTCCATTAAAGCAAGGAAGGTGATAGGAAGTGGATAAAATAAAAACTACATTTATAACTCGGTACTGTCTTTATTATACCGGGTGCGTCTCAAAAGTGGCTCATCCCCATAATTTTTTTATATTTTCAAATAAAAAAAACAAGATTTAGTATGTTAGTATATGAAATAAATTAGGATTGATTGACGCATTCAATTGTTTTTGGTCACTTCCTGTTTCACCGGAAATGACTATAACTTTTAATTTTTAAACGGCACCCTCGGTATATTTCTACTTTATTTGATAGAAAATGACACTCTGAATAGAATGACATATCATATGTCAACTTTTGACACTTTCGCATATGGTTTAATTGTAATTGTAACACGTGGTTCATAACGACAATTTGACTCGAAATACCAAGTGTGTGGTATCAATATATTCATAAAAAAATGCTTTTTCCAAATATGCTAACGAGTCACCCTTGTTCCATTTGAAAAAATTGACATATGTATGATTAAAAATATGATTTGTACATCTTTTAATCGGCCTAGACAAGACACGAAACCCATTAGACGATCAAAACTATTTTTCCAAGGCTCCTTGATTAAAACTTAGTGTTTTTAACAACACCATGGCACCCTGGATTGAAATTTATAATACGATTTGTTTTTAAGCGACAATGTCAAAAGTTGACATATGATATGTCATTCTATTCAGAATTCTATTATCATTTTCTATCGAATAAAGTAGAAATATACCGAGGGTGCCTTTAAAAATCAAAAGATGTAATCATTTCGGTGAAACAGAAAGAGACCAAAAACAATTGAATACGTCAATAAATCCTAATTTATGTCATATACCTACTAACATACAAATCTGTTTTTTTATCTGAAAAAATAAAAAAGTTATAGCGGTGAACCACTTTTGAGACGACCCGGTATATTAAAAAATATTGTCTCATAATGTAATATCATATTAAAATTCTTGTATGTTATTTTAGATTCTGAAGATAATTTTAGAATAAACCGGAATATATTTTTAATAAAAACATTATTAATTATTAACAGGGTTATAATTATGATTTTGTTACAATGTAAGTAAGTAAATAATGTAATATAAGAGAAAAAATTCAGATTTTACATTTTACTAAAATATTATCTAAATAAGCGCCTTTCTACAACAACGCCACTGACTCCCAATGGGTAAATTGAGAGTTGCCTACCGGTCAAAAGTCGTTTCAAGACTTAAATGGATTATTTAAGTCAAATTTCTTGCAAATTTGGCACTGGCGAACCATATTTTATAGTTTTTGAACAGAAAAAGTCAATAAAATAAACACTTAAGGACTACAAGCTAAGAAAATGCGTTAATACAGCCGGGGAGATAGCGGCAACCAAGCTTTACCGCACACGTGCGACACGTACTACAAGGTAATAAATGAATGAATAGGCTCCCTCGCCTCTAATCGGTGTTGTCATATTGTAAAGAACTTATCCTTATTAAACAGTATCCGACTTATAATTTAGTAGTATAAGGACTATTTAATACATCTATGGAATATTAAAACCTACTTTATTAAACTGTAGTATTAATATCTCAATATATGTGTATAACAAGAAAAAAAATATTGATAATATTAAAGACGTGACAACATAGGCTGGATGAGGAAGGCTCGGTCGACTGTACCCAGAAGTAAACATGTGTACAAAAAAGGTTGTTTGTCCGCGTTGAGATGTAAATAGTGTAGTCTATATTTTATTTTAAGTCTATGATCTAAAGTAAATATATAATATAGTTTTGATTTCAGGACAGTTCTTGTATTTATAATATTTTTTTTAAGAAAGGCTGAAAAATATATTATCTCTGAAACTATCGAAATATATTTATTCATATCTTAGGATTATGTGAAGTAATCCGAAAAGAAGCCAAATTGCAATAATATACAGGATGTTCCATTTAAAAAAAATCATCCCTATCCACTCCTACTTTTTTGAGCCACCCTATAGAAGTTAAAATATTTTCCTGGAATACTACCTAGAACATACTTTAGATTTGCACTTAAACAAAATTCTTAAGTTTTTTATTCTAAGAGCTACAACAGATGCCCGACGCACTATTGCCGGACCCTGTATATTTTATGATTTTTTCGTATTATTTTTTTATGATTATTTCGTAAGTACAAACAACTGAAATGTGAAGCTAAAGTAATAAACATAAATTATTTTCAACGAAACTACAAACTTTGAATGTACATAACTATTTGAAATACAGTTCATACTAACATAGGATCTGCAGTTGCCGCACATGGATTTGCGGCAAGATTTTTGTTTTTTTGTCATTTCTCCGTTGACATATACCACATCTCTTTCGTTTCTGGTATTGATTACTTAATTTTCTCTTTTCTATAAGTAAGAAATTCAGAATCGGAGTTATGGTTACTCTTCGGAGAAAAATCAATGTTTCCGATGATCTTCATATCACTTAAGTCTCTTTAAGTTCATCAAACCACTCAATTAATGTTTCCTCGAAATTGGCGTCCCCGTGACGCACACTTTTGGGACTGCAACAGTTTTAATAATGAAACATTTGTTGGTGGTGCCACACAGACCCCAATGAAACTTTACACCCCGCTGGTAGGAAAGATACTTGATAAAAAACAAGTGTGCCTGTAACAGCATATGGGTACCCTAACTTAAAGGTAAATGGCTCGGCGAGGCCTAAATATTAAACACAAAAATTTTACAGAAGTTTAAATAGTGTTTGCGATCCGCTAGACCCCACCACGCCATTTGAGGGTTAATAAGAGTTTGGTGTCTTGATTTAAAAATTGAATGTCTCAAGTCAAATTTTCTGTCAGCTACTTTATCAATTAAAAAGCAAAGTGAATTTGAATGATTGCACTAGTAAACTTCAGTGAATGTAAAAAATCATTAGTAAAAGAACAGAATAGAGAAAAATCATTTTTTATACTGTGGTAAAAGTTTGTTTCAAAATTAGTCGTTGAATTTTTACTGGCGGAGTGTTAGCAAATCAGTGAATAATGCTCTTTTACTAACAGACAATTGTTAAGATTCACTGATTTCTGACCATTTACTGTAATGTACCCAACAAAAGAATGTAAATAAATAAATTATATTAAAGTAAAGCGCTTTTTTATTTGCTTACTCTAATTTGATTCTTAACGAAACGCCAAAAATAACTCAATAATCCTTTTTCTGCTTTTCTCGTTCCAGATTTATTATGGACAACTTTCCTTATTACAGAGAAAACAAACAGGGCTGGCAAAATTCCATAAGGCACAATTTAAGCCTCAACGATTGCTTTGTTAAAGTTCCCAGGGACAAAATTAGCGGAGGAGGAGGAGGAGGAGGCGCAGATTGCTCCGGAGGAAAAGGTAGAGAAAATAACAATTTTTGTGGGTTTTTATTCGAGGGCTTGAATTACAAACTTTTGATTTGTAATTTGGAATTAAACAGGCTAGACAGCCTCTTATTGGTTAAAGAATTTTTGAAAGGTAAAGTAATGTCTTGTCTTTTCTTAATTATTGCTGATGAGCAACAAAAGATTGATTTTGAATTTTCAATATCTTTAGGTTCTTTGAATGTGGTAGACAATGATTCGGTATTGATATTTTAGGGTTATTTATTCTCTGGTTGATACTAATATAGAATTTTTGACTTTGTCTTTATTTACTATTTTTTCTAAAGTCTGTCATTTTTGACATATGACACAAATATATGTTTTTTAAATGGAAACCATATAGTTAGCCATGACTTCACAAGAAGCGTAATTTTTAAAGCTTTCCAGCGATTTAAGTTATAATATGTTTTTTTTATAAATTACTTAGTTCCCAAGCAACACACAATGGTATATTATACGTTTAAACTGATCTAATACCGTCCATCTTATCTAGGTATACGACAAAGAATGTGAAACGTATAATAAACTGCAAAATGTCCGCCACTTCAACGTATATATTTAAGGTTTCTCTATTCCTTTTATAATCGTATATACATATATCAATATTATACAAGATGGTAAACGTATATTAACAATTTATGATATACTAGGATTACACGTAGACCAAATACGTGTATTAAATGTTATTTTTCTTTATAAATTTATACGTGAAACAGAACCGTTTATTAAATGTTATTTTTACATACAAATTTATACGTATCTAGGAAATGAAATTTAGTAATATAACCACCTAGCATTATTGTTTTTCATTAATATGAAGGATTTTTGAACCAGTATAAACAGACCTTAGGTTACTTAAGAAATGCTACATAATGGTGATATAAATTATACCCTGTGGTGTCCTCCAACGGTCTAAGACACTCGAAAAAGTTCCTTAGAACTTATGACCGAGAAAAATGAAAGGTTTTCCTTGATTTAAGTAAAAACAATCTTCGGATTGTCACGGGGTTTCTAACAGGACACTGTCTCCTCAACGAACACCTCAGTAGGCTGAAACTGAGAAACAACGGCGAATGCAGATTTTGTGGGGAAAACGGGGAAACACCAGAACACCTTATCACAGAGTGCGCCGAGACGACGACCATTCGTGCCATGAACCTTGGTACGTCTGATGTCGAGGATGGAGAGCTGGCCTCTGTGGAGCCGTCTCAGATACTGGCTTTTCTTAAAGCCCTGAGACTGTATGATGAGTTTATAACTCAAGAAAGGGGAACACACAATAGATCTATAAGGTCGCGGTGATTAACTCCCCTCCTAAACATTCTACATTCTACATACCCTAGAACCCCTTTATATAACATAATATTGCAATTTTTCAGTAACCTAAAATTAAAAAGTTTGTTTTTACTGGTTCAAAAAATCTTCCTATTAATAAAAACAATAATGCTAGGTGATTAAATTACTAAATTAAATTTGCTAATACATTTTTTATGATTAATGGTAGGATTTTTAATGAATAAGTATAAAAAAACTTAATTGGAAATCTTCTTTAATAACATCTTAAAAATTGGAGACATATACCGTACATTACTGAAATAAAAATAAACAAAACATATCATAATTCCTAAAATAAGAAAACTGACAATACATAAATATAACTAAACATAAAATATAAAGAATAATATATACATACGTTCACATTTTTTCTCTGTTATACGAGTAGTATATTATTTTACAAAATCGTTTAAATCAATCCAGTTGTCTACCAGAATAAGAAAGTTTGACAGCTTCTAAAAAATGGAGAAAGGGCAAACGATATATTATACAATTACTGATAGGGTGTAATAAATAACTTCCTAACAACAAGTTTTTATTTAATCCATGTACTAAAAGTAATAAAAAAAAGTTTAGGTTTAAGAAAGGTCTGTTTTTTAAAAAAGCGTTTGCGCGTAATGTTTTTTTAATTTTCAGCAGGGGTATGTAAACGGTATACAGTATACGTTTACAAAACCTATGCTCAGCACTGCAAAAACTTGTCATTGCATATATACATATTCATGCATATAAAAATTTACATAAATACGTACATGTGAAGTTAAATAAAAGCTTATAACTTGATAAATGAAAAAAAAAGCTTATAACTAGATAAATTTAAAACTTACCCTCAAGTACGTTTCCAAAGGAAAAAAATTTAAAAAAAATCCTCAAAACGCTACAACGCGTAATACGTAAGTAACAGAGCCTAAGTGTACTTTCTCTTTCTTCTGCAATTGAACTATAAATTGTGTAAAAGTAGTAGCTGGATATACCATATTTACCCAAGCAGCATTTGGACGTCGGGACAACGTTGTGTCACGCGACCAAACGTCGGGGCGCAACGTCGGCACAACCTCGTGCCAACCCTAGTCTGCACTAGTTTGGAGAATAATTTTTGGGTCGAAACGACGTTGGATACCGACGTTGGCTAGAAGCCTAATTTAGTACAAACTACAACGTTGTTTAAAATCCTAATTCACAGAAATACAAAACTAATATGGCGTCTAAGTCGCGTTTTATCCTAAATTGGGATAATTATAGTAAAAATATTATTTTTATGATTTAGTTAGAGACATATGTCAGATGGCAATGAAGGAAAACAAAACAAAAGTATTTAAGTGTGGAGGATGTTTGAAGATCATAATTATTGAAACACTTTAACCAACTCTGTAACTCGTTACCCAAGGCAAAAAAGTTAAACGCAAACAACTTTATTGATAAATGTATTGTTTCTACTTTGAAAAATACTAATGGGCTTTAAAATTAAAGAAGTTTTAAAATTTTCTTGAATTTTTTTTTTAGTAAAATGCGAATAATTTATTCGCAGTCGAAAAATTGTTTCCGCGTGTTTTTAGGGTCAAATATTTCAAGTTAATGTATTCAAAAGCAGGAATTGCTATTTTAGGAACGAAACATTTACTTATTTAACAACATGGCGGCTTTCACTTTGTTGTTTTGGAGATTAAGATGGAGTAGTTCGAGTAGTCGCATACTGGACTAATAAAGTCGCAGTGCGGCCAGGTAGTATACTAGTCGCAAGATTGCCTAATTTAGTCATCCTAGAGTCTAGCTTGTGCCGCCCTCTATAATCTAAATAAACGAGGGAGTGGATAAACTATTGGTTTTATATGTAGATGTATATTTAAATTTAGTTTTATATGTACCTTTCTTATGTCTCATTTTAATTAATTTTTTTTTATAAAAACAAAAGCAGCACTGAACTGTCTGACTGAAGTGAAAATTTAAGATTTAAGGTTATGGTTCAATACAGTTGCAAAAAGGTAGTGACTCGACGTCCTACCAACGTAAGAATAAGGAAATCTAAACAACGTTGGAATTAGTAAAATAGACGACGTTTGCATAACGTTGGAATAGGTCCTGAAACTGACGTCGGAAAACTCTATATTGTCCAACGTTGTAACTACGTTTTCCGAATCACCTAAAGATCACTTAAGCAAAAAAGGTTACAAGACAACGTTTATTCGACGTCGCAGAAGCTTCTACTTTGCTGTAGTACTAGTCCAACGTCGGTACAACGTTATAAAAACGTTTAAATTTATTTTAATACCCAAGGTAGGGAGCTAACTATTTTTTGTAACTAATCCAACGTTGTGTTTAGTAAACATGTGGTCGCAAGTCGTGAAAATGCTACTTGGGTATGTCTTTCGGAAAAGTATTATATTAAATAACGCACCTTATATTGATATCAAACAAACAATGTGTGGACACAAAGGCGTCTTTACCCTTGATTACCCTTACTCTGAGCCTAGATGTTTCATAGAAGACGCAACGTGATTGGGTAGATTTGATCATGTGACAAGATTTTGTAGTGTCGAGTATGGGCTTCATATCCGTATACCATATTCCATTTAGATTCCATCTGCTGTAAAAAGTCTAACGATATGATTGGTAGATCTAATCACGTGACCAGATTTTATAGTGTCAAATAAACGTTTCGTATATGTAGTCTATATACCATTTCTATACAATTTATTGATACTGTTTATATACGTTTTTGAAATTCAGTTTTTTTTAATATTTTTATATTGGAGTTCAAATTTATCAAAAAATCACAAAAAACAGTTTGATAATTACTTATTATGCCCTTTGTGTCTGAACTTTTCAAAAATTACGAATATAACTGACTTGGTGCCAAAATGGAAATATCATATACTTAAAATATATGTTTCGAATATACGTTAAAAAGCAGTATAATACTATGCACTATAATAAACGTATATACTAAGATCAACGGAAAATAAAGTCCTTTAATATGCGTATATTACACGTTGCATATAAAAAAGTAATATGAAATACGTATATTATTTATACCTTTAAAAAAATATACGATATTTATACGGATAGTACGTTTATTAAACGTATATACTCTTGAACGGTGTTGATTGGGTTATAGTCAATTCTTATCTTTCTCGACTAATTTCCCTATTCTTATTCTTATTCTTATTCTTTTATGATTATAACTTATAAAAAAACAAAATATTTTATTAAACGGTTCTTTACATTTACATTACACAAACTAAAACTTGAAAAATTACTATACACTTTAAGTTATGTTAAGCAAATATTCAAAAAATCCGCCATTATTTTGAGTACATAAAATGCATCTCTTTACAACTGAATTACAATTTTTTTTACAGAACGACCGGTCGACTTTATTAAACTTCTCCAGCACCGCCCCTTCGAGTGCCTCTTTTAATTCATAAGTTCTTTAGTACATCTTGTTGCTAACCATACCGCATAAAAAATCTAAAATGGATAGGCTAGGTGATCGAAGAGGCCCATGCAATTAGTCAATCTCTTGCTATCTCTGAGTTTGTGAGAGAGTGTCATAATGAAAGTCATATTGGAACCACTCTATTGATGCGCGAGTATTTAAATTTGACTTTTCTACCATGTCTTGAAAACCGTTCTCTAAAAAGCGTTCACCGGTCAACGTATCCTCGAAAATGCATGGCCAAAAGTTGAACCAATAATCCTACACGCTTTTCTTCATTTGTTAAATTCATATTTACAATTTTTGGTTATTTTTATTTACAAAGTTTGAATGTAACAGTTTGACATCTCTGAGAGCAACGAGTGAACTTGTTTCCACAGCTAACTAAGTGAAACTGTTTAAAAATGATAAAATATTGGCTATAACTCAGTAATTTTTCGAAAAAAAAATATTGTAGCTGATATCACTGACAATATTAAAAAATGCTTTTATAAAGGCATGGCCAACAATAGTTTCCACTTAAGAAAACATGAAATTTCATGAATTTCAAGGTGCGTGTGGCGCCATCTGTTGGAGATGCATCGCTTTAAACCGCAATTTTGCTGGTTGAGGACTATTTGAGGACATTGTTGAAGCATCTCTTAGCCAAGTAGAAAAGCGTATGAGGCGGTGCAATTTACTGGTAGATTGCAGAAGGGTATCGAAAATTACAGATAATTTTAGAACGTTCCAGAAACAGTCGCTAGGATATATAAAAAGCAGCGTTCGGCAGTTGAGTCGGTATGGGATTGTGCCCTGTAATAGAAAAATTGTCTCAAAAAACTGAACTATTTGGCGAAGGTGCTAGAAAATTGAGTAACAGTAACTACTATTACTCAATTTTCTGCATACTGCATAGTTAATTAGTTGTGTAAATGGTGTATATAGTGAGGAAAATAAAGTCGTTAAGTATTTTTATAGTACGTTTATTATTTTATATGTCAAAAATGACATGCTTTAGAAAAAAACGGAAAACACAATCTCATTAAGTTTGTGATTATCTACAACTTTTATCTGAAAACGTTTTTTCTAAAATAGATTATGATGAAATTAGAGAGCATTTTTAAAATAGCCGAAATTTGTTTTTTTCGAAATATCTAGTAAACCACAAACTTTTTCACAATTCCGAAAAGCGCATATGTTTGTCCTCACAAAACCGCAATTCTTTCTCCATCTGACCGTCTCTCTAACCCCAGTAGTTTCCGAGATACCCATAGAGAACATGTAGAAAACTCACCCTGTATAAGGGCAGTATTTTTGGTATTTAAATTATTTTACACTTGAAATCAGTCAGTGATACATCTGTCCGAAACGCTGTGCAAGTTAAATTAAACGAATATAATCAAAATTCAAAATTCTTTTAGGATCAATACTGAATTGTCTATCACAGTCAAAAGGATCTTATTCCAATAATATCTCTAAAAGAACTCAACCAAGAATGAATCACTTAGTAGTTTTTTCATAAAGTGGTAAAGCAAAGAGTTTAGTTCCCAACCAGCAAATTTTAATTGAAAATAGCCGTTATACTATTAACTTTCTGAAATTTTTGTTCTATTTTAGGTTCGTATTGGATGCTGGATCCCAAGGCCGCAAATATGTTCGAAAAAGGAAATTACAGAAGGCGGAAAACTAGACGTCAGAGAGTTTCCGAATGCGGAACTTCAATTTTCCAGGTTGGTAGAACAAACGTAGAAATGTAACGAATGTGACAGTTTTCTCGAGATATTATATAAGTTAATTATGCAATTGGATTGGTGAATTTCCGAGGCGCGATAAATGGTTCTTTTAAAGGGGGTTTATTTTATGCCTGGATTAAAATTTAAGTTAAAATCATTCACAGGTTATTATTATAAAACTTTTGATAGTACATTACTTTTTTTTATAATAATCAACAATGCTTTATAAAACTCAATCACTGCAGAATTATAATTAATATTTTAGTTGAATGAATGAATTTTATAATATTCGAATAATCGCCAAATCGAGCACATATCTAGTGATGGGCACTTTCTAATGAAAGACCTTTTTGTGAAAGTTTCTGGGAACGTTCCCTGAAATTGGAAATATAATAAAAATAAATAGAAACCAAGTTTTTTGTGTGCTTTAATTTTACATAAACAAACTGCAAAATAACAAAAAAATAATTATCGAACTCAAAGGTGAGTTTATATTATTATGTATTCGTCATGCGGTCGTCCGTCGTTCCGTCGCTCCAATCAAATTTAAGTAATAGCAGTCATTTTCTAAAAATCCTAAATCCACGATAGATGATGCATGACGTATGCATGTAAACCCACTCTTATTCATTTGGACTATACTCCGGCGGCGAGTTAGAACTGTTGCTGAGTCCATTCTTCTCTTCTTTCTTCTTTCTCAGCCTGGTTCCATCCAATGTTGGATATAGGCCTCTTCTAGGTTTTTCCATGCTTCGCGATCTCTACCCAACCTTATCCATTGTCTCCCTATCACTGTTCTGACGTCATCGACCCATCTCTTTTTTGGTTGGCCCACACTTCTTGTTGTTCCACTAGGTCTCCATAGAATAACTTTTTCGGGTCATCGGTCTGGATCCTGTCTTGCCACATGTCCTATCCATTGCCACTTCAGACTTGCCACTCTTTTAACAACATCTATTAGTTTCGTTTTTTGACGTATGTGGGTGTTTGGTTTGGTATTTTTTCCCTAATGGTGACTCCTAACATGATTCTTTCCATGGCTCTTTGTGCTACTCGTAGTTGTTCTGCTGTTTTTCGGGTAATTGCAATAATCTCTAAGCCATACGTAAGCACAGGTAGAATGCAGCTGTCGTAAGCCTTTTTATTTAGGTTGATGAGCACCTTTTGCTGAGTCCATTATCTGATTTTAACTCGGAAGAATAATTATGGCTGAAATCATAACATAAACAAACAGGCAAAGGAATTTGATACGTATATCGACCAGCGAACGGAATATTGAACGGAAAAACATAACCTCAAAGTAATGCAAGTGGGAGCATTCCCACTATTCGGGAAAATGGAGGGAATATGTATTAAAATTGAGGAAATTAACAAAAGAATTATTAGTATTTAACTTTTTTGGTTAAGTGGGTTTACTGGGCAACCGCACGGCACAATAATTTTAAAAGAATAATCTACCATTTCTAAAAGAATAATCTACCATAGGAACAAGAGAACAGATCTTAAATAATGTATGCAAATAATTGAAAAAGCATATGAATTTAATGTTAAAATGTATTTATGCTTCGTCGACTACAGTAGGGCTTTTGATTGTGTAAAGTAGAAGAAGTTGTGGCTGGTATTAGAAAAAATGGGAGTACCAAAACATGTTATATTTCTACTTAAAAATATTTACGAAGACAGCTCCGAAAAACTCAAAGTCAACAACGCTCTCTCTAAGTATTTTAGTCCGAAACGTGGTGTGAGACAAGGTTGTATAGTATCACCCATACTCATCAACATATGGACAGTACATAATGAGAAAAGTCTTACAGGGCTGGCGAGGCGGACTAACGATAGGTGGAAAAAAGATCACAAACCTTGTGTATGCCAATGACACCTTAACTCTTGCATGCTCTGAGGAAGAACTTGTTCAAATAATGCGAAGGTTACGTAAGATCAGTGCGGAACATGGCCTTATGCTGAACAAAAGGAAAATGCAAGTCATGATAATAGACCGATATCCTACTAACATCACGGAGATTGATGGTTTTGAAGTGGTTGAAAAGTTCAATTATCTCGGATCCCTCGTAACAAACAAGGGAGTCTGTGACTAGGAAATCAAACGCAGACTAGCAATAGCTCGTAACTCGACTATAAAACTAACACGAATATGGAAAGGCTCCGCAATATCCGAGCGCAACAAATTAAAATTAGTAAACACATTGATCTTTCCTATCGCTACTTATGCATCAGCTCGTGCATCAGAGACCTGGACTCTGAAAACTACAAGCAGACGAAAAATAGATGCTTTCGAAATGTGGGCCTACAGAAGAATACTGCGAATTTCATACACAGACCGGACCAACGGTATCAATTCTAAGGCAGTTGAAAGTTAATACAAGACTTTCAACCAAAATAAACCATCAGTCATACCTTAGGTACTTCGGACACATTTCGAGAAGCACAGATGGACTGGAAAACAATCAGAATTGAAGGGAAGATTAATGGCAAACGACCAAGAGGAAGATCTCCGATGCGCTGGGTAGACCAAACCAAAATAATTATTGGTCACGGCCTGCAAGAGGCTTCTATAGCCGCTCAAGACAGAGAGGAATGGAGAACAACGATTCGAGCAATTGAGGCATGATGTCACCATTCTCTTTCGAGAGTTAACGGACGAGAAGAAGAGAATCTACCATTTCGAATTTATTAGTAATTCGTATCGGATAAGTTCGAATTCAGCACCCCAAAAAACATTATAATTAGAAAAAATCAGAACTACCCCAAAACTTTCCTCCAAAAGGCCTTTTTGAAGGTGACTGGATTACTAAAGTACTTACTAGTAGAGTAAACGCCACGAATGTTTGGGAGTGATTCATCGCTTGATGAAGTTAGAATCGACACGCGCGCTATCATTTTTACATTAAAAACGTAATTTTTACCGCAGACGTAGGTTTTTAGAGGCCCGGTCTAATCATCTGCCTGCGCTCCTCCTACTTATTCTAAAATGTTGGCGTGATTGACAAAGACGATACTATATCGCGTTTCTTTGATTGCTCCGTTTTTGTGCGTCAGTCCATTGGTGTGCTTGCAGTGCAACCAATGGGGCATTCCATTTTATATTTATAACCAAATATATGTTTTGACAAGACTTTGACAGTTAAAACAACAAATTACAACAGATTATGGTAAAGGTGTGGATCCGGTGGCTGACCTTGAAGCCCATATTTGCTGCTTTTGATCATCGATACTACGCAAGCGCACATCGTCGATGTTGCCAAATTGCAGTTTATTTTCGAATTATTTGCAGTTGAAATTTTTTTTTGCGTGTTAATCAATAATAATACAAATTCTATAATTTCAGATTTATCTTGATATCCAAAATTAAGGTAAGAAGGATAATGAAGATTGTGAAATGAAAGTATTATAATATATAAAATTGTAATAATAATAACATTTATTTATATGTTTACATTAGAATTAAAATTTATCATTTACGGATTTTTTCTTAATGGTTTTAAACTTATTAGAATTATTTTATTTCTTTCAAGTTATTTAATTTCTAGTTATTTACAGGCAACAATATTTTTGATTATATGCATGTATTGATGTTTTGAAGTACTACCATGACGGGTCTTATTATAGAACAATAAACGTCAATCGGAGATAGAGGTAACATTTTACCTATTATATAATGTTACTATGTAATATAATATACTTTGATTATAATTAATGTTTGTATCATAATTTCTTAAAAATATCAAGCATAGATATCAAGTTAGTGGATTTTATCGAAGAGTGTGTTGATAAGACTAAAATAAGCTTTATGTTTTATCTTTTTCTCTTTAGAAGGGAGATGGTTTGTATCGTAAAATACATTACAGTATTTAATATCGTATACTTTGTTATTCTTTTCTTAATTTACTGTAATTTCTTGTTTCCTATAATGCCAAATCTTGACAATATGGTGAAGGTTGAGTTTTGATCTTATTAGTTTTATAAGAATAATATAATAATAATAGAAATACAAGACTAAATTAAGACTTAGTTTGTGATTTATATTAAGATCTTTCTTATAATATTTGTTATGTCTTCATCTTAATACTATATTATGCTTGGTCTGGAATTTAAGTTGTTTAAATAATGTTAAAATATCTTAATTTTGCATATCCTATTCATCCTTCCATTAGGAAAAATATGGTTTATAAATCATATATGCTAAGAAAATCACATAAATTAGGTGTAAGAATAGAGAAATCTTAATGTAGCAGAAAAATTAATGCAATATATGTATAAGCAGAATTAAACAAGGTAACTGTTAATGTTGTTGAAGCTGATTCTACAATTTTAATTACGGAGGCTAAAAGGCCTTTTAAGGCCTCCGTAGTTTTGATGGAATGTTAAAAAAAATCTATTATGAACATGACATGGAGCTACAGCATTTAAAAATTAAAAAAAAAAAGAAAAAATTTGGACACATCCCTTTTAATTTCCCGAATTTTTAATGAAGCACTTTTTAAACGTAGCAATAATCTAGATAGTAATCTAGAGTTTTATTTCTATATAATTTTATTGACTGAAAATACATAATAAGCGTTCACGTGTTGTGCGAAATATTAATATAATATACCGCGTACTATGATTGAAAAAAAATAGCGTCAGCAATGACTATGAAATGAAGATCGCTGTCATTTTATGGAAATGTTCTCAATCGTCATTTCCCAGACAACTGGACGCCGTTTTTTCGATCATACGGTATATATTGACAAAAAAACACTGAAAAGCACATATTTGTTTTCTACTGAAAATAATTCCAAAATAATTCACAATCTGGCAACATCGAAGATGTGCGCATGCGTAGTGTCTGTGACTATATGCAGCAAAAACTCGTTTCAAGGTCAGCCACCGGATCCACACCATTACCCAGATTATATATTGATTATTATATGACTTGAAAGACCACGGCACTAGAATTAAGTTTTATGTAACCTTGAACAGATTAGTTCACATGGAAGCGACCCATGATACAAAGAAAACAAGGTATGATCGATAGCGACTCCAATTTCGTTAAGTTTGCGCATACCACCTGTGACGTCATCCGCCATACAAAAAAATATCCATATTGTTCAATTGCCACTAATAAAAAAAGACCTAAAGTAGGGAAGAATTAGGACATAACCCCAAAAGTTATGTCAAATCATCGAGCTTGACATTTGAAAATTTATTTTCATTTATTATGTGTCATCTGTTTGAGAATTTGAAATTGGCGCGCGGAGCTTGCCGACCAATGGTGCCGTTTATCACCAGTGACATAGTGACCAACCTGCGCAATATCATACCTTGTATTCTTTGTATCATGGTAGCGACCGATGAATCACTCCCAAACATTCGTGGCGTTTACTATAGTAGTGACGCGTGACGCCACGTGTTTTATTTTGCGCGTATAAAACTATTTGTTACACGTAAAAAACTATTTTTTACGCATGAAAAATATTTGTTACGCTTAAAAAACCATTTCTTATACGCAAAAAAAATAATTTTAATTTATTATAAATAGATATATATTATATTTTTTAATAAATTTTAATTTATTACCAAAAATTTAATTCATTACTTTTTCATAATTTCAGACTACACTTTTTCAAACATGTTACTCAAATTTAATAGCTCTTGGTAATAAGATTCACTTTAAATATACGCACAATAGTGCACACACAATTTATTTTAATTTTCTTCAATAACAAGAACAGAAGGAAACACATAGATGACAAAAATGTTCACCTTCCACCGGGCTCCTTTTTTTACAGATAGAATAAATTTGGAGATTTTTTTCTTATTTCTAAACTAAAACTGAACGAATTCAAGTGTAACAGAGCGACCAAGGGTAACAAACTAATTAAAAAAGAGTCGAAAACTCAAATAAAAACTTTTATTCTCCATCTCACTCGTTCTTTCACGAGCGCTGACCGTTACAAAAATGAACTTTTAACTGTGGGGGTTGAATTTGAGCCGCGTGTTCTCACAGAGTTGTTGAATTATTTTTAACGGGCACTAGTTAAACAGGAAAGTTCTTGCGAAAGTTATTTTGCATTTGCAGCAAAATATACGGTTTTTTGCCCGCTCGTTTGTTTTGTTTTAAATAAACTCGAAGGCTCTTTCTTTTCTAATTGAGTTATAGGTAGGTAATTTGCGGAATTTTTTGAAAATTTGCGTGTAAAAAATAATTCATAATGTCAATTAAAATAGGTACTAGGTTATAAAATAAACATCAAATATTTAAAAATCTAACTAACAAGGAGTTTAACTGATTCATTATTAATAAAAGAAGGAAAACGTGGCTTGAAATTTGGCAGAAAATGTCTACAAACCAAAAAATGTCTACCGCTTGTTTAAGAAATATCCTTACGTGACCATATGAGTTACGAAATATATCGATGTGTCACAAATGACTTAGGTTGTATTCCGATGTGTCACAAATGATTTAGAGCTAAAACGCACTGACGACTACGCACTGACAAGGTCGCGACCAGCTATCGAATGCTGCGACAAGACCTCAAACGCACTGACACATGACGGCCAGGTCACAGCGACCAGGTCGCTGCTACCTCTAATACCATTAAATCAAATGATAAAACGCGCACTAACGACCTGACCGTTGACTGATCGTTGCGACCAGTAGACTGCACTTATCATTTTCTGCCGCTTTTTCTTTCAAAGCGGCAATCTCTTCCAAATTAATAATTTTTCAGATGAAATCCCTCAAATTCAATGCAAAATTTTCTATAAGATATAGTGTTTTAGTGTATACACAACCAAACATATATGGAATCATCTATTATTTTTCATGATTTTTGAGATGTATGAAAATTTTCTGTTTATGAATAAAACTCAGTCCTTACCAATGACTTTTAATGAAAAATAATCCATATAGCAATTTAAAAAAATTAATCATTTCCCAAAATAAACAAAATGGTATTTTTTAGTTTCTGAAACAAAATTAAGAGATAAATTTTTAATGGACAAAATGCATAAGCAAAAAGACAATTGATAATTTTAATATTCCTTGTTGCCACCTCTAGCCCTTATGCAAGCTTCTATCCGCGTTGGCATGCTTCTTATTAAATTATCCACGTTGTCTTGGGGTATGTTTTTCCATTCTGCTAATGCTGCATCAATAAGCTGTGCGAGATTTCCTGGATTGTTTCGACGAGCTCTAACCCTTCTTTTGAGCTAGCCCCACAAGTGTTCGATTGAGTTTAGATCTGGTAAATAGACAGGCCAGTCCAAAACTATGACACCTTCCGTTTCAAGACATACTCGAGTCACTCTGCTGGTATGGAGAGGTGCACTATCGTGCATGAAGTTAAAATTATCCCTAATTGCAGCTCTCCAAAGACTAACGAGTGGTTCTAGCACCAAATCAACATATCTCCGACCCGTTAAAATTTGTTGAAGTGGTAACAATGGAGTTTTTGCTACTAGTCTAATACCTCCCCAGAACATTACAGTTCCTCCTTTATATCTTGGTACAGATTAGGAAGCCTGGAGTCTCGCTCGTCTTCCTGGAGCTCTGAGAACCCGAATTCGATAGTTATCTGATCTTAGACCAATTCTGGTCTCATCCGAAAAAAAGAACATTTTGCCAATTCCCAGTTGTCCAGTTTTGATGTTGAAGGCCTCAATTTAGCCGGTCAATTTTATTTTGCCGAGATAACTGTGGGATCCGTAACTCTCCCCTGCTGTAAAACCCTTGTACACGAAGCCTTTTTCGTATGGTTTCAACTGAAACGTTCACACTTGTAGCTGCCAGAAGTTGTCTTTGTAACTCTGGATGGGAAACATTGAGATTTATTGTAGCAATTTAGCACACAAGGCGGTCTTGTTGTTCAGTTGTGACTCTTTGACGACTTTGTCTGGACCTAGCTTTGTGTGTTCCTAATTCCAAGTACCTTGCATATGATTTCGATACAACACCCTGGGCAAAAATCCTGATTATTTCGTCCATTTAGAGGCATGCCTCGGTTCGAAACGTCGAGGGCTTGATCCTTTCGTCGAGGGCTTTCCATCCCCAATTATGGCGAAATTGACCAACATTTTTCTTCAATATTAAATCCTTAGTCCCACCCTAATGAAGATGTAAAAGAAACAAGTTTGCAGGATGGGACTCTGTGCACCGTCGCTCACATAGCCTGCCTACCAAAGTTGGTAGCGATCGGACGACATCAACTTTTGACTTTCCTAAGTCAAAACTAACTGTCAGAGTGACACGTGTCGTACATAAAGTAAAGTTGGCCTTGATCCAATATACCGACATACTAAATTTCATTTAAATCGGGCCATTTTTTGATTTGATTCATTGATGATGGGATTTCGTAGTGTACGAAACCTCGTCAAAATATCATGAAAAGATCGGGCTCTTTGAGGACCCAAGTTACGACGCTCTAAGATCAAGTCACCGTTACCACTTTTCATCTCGCGTTACGTATGTCACGACCTTCAATATGTACTCCCATCGCGCGAAAAGAAGTTTCACTTCAAAAAGATTTGAATATGTTACTGAATTGAACTAAAATTTAGTTTTTCCGATTTTAAAACATTTTTAAAGAAATAACTTATTTATAAAATAATAAAGATTTATTTTAGAAATAATGGAATTTTAGGATTTTTTAAATCATAATTTGAGTACTTTAACTTAATGTACTTTTTGTAATAATCTTCTTTCTTTTACTTTTCAGGAGGAGGCAATATCTTTAGTTACTAGGACGGACGATGTATCAGAAAATCAACATCAATATGGTGAATCAATAAGATTGAAAAATTCCAGCTTATTTACTATAGAAAATTTGATTAAAAATAATTCAAACACTGATAGTAATAATATAGAAATAAAAACAGAAAAAGATGATAATTCTTAAGCTTATTTAAAAATTTTATTTGCTGTAAATAATAATTTATAAAAAATATCTCATGTGAGTTTTTAGATATAAAATAATGTTCCTTCTGCTAAATAAAATATAGACACTTGGGGATACGTGCGAAAGTTAACACTAATTATTGTTAAAATTAAATTAACATAAAACGTTTGTTTCTTTTAATAGATATTTAAAGCTTTTTTATTTAATTTGTATGATAAGATTAGTGTTACAAATTTTCTAGAAAAGTATATATTTTGTAAATAAATAAATGTAATTAAGAGAAAGTAGATTGTAAAAACTTCAAAAAGTGCAAGCATACTAGAAAATGTTATTTGTGTTATTTGGTAATAAATTTTATTTAAAACAAAAGTATATTTCATTATAAAATAGCCTAAAATTATACACTATGAAATATTTCTATACAGGATGAGTCTTAAATAAGTGCAAATATTTTCAGGGCTGGTAGATCTCGATTAAAGAAACATATTTTCTCTTTACCATTTTTCAGATAATCCCAAAATAACCTAGCTATTTAAGTTTTAAAATTTAAAAAAAAATTGATTTTTTTTTAAACTATGAGAACCACCGGATTTTTCTGTATTTGCATCCCTTTTATTGCCGTAACCATAGAGTAAAGCCGTAACTATGGTAATATCAGAGATTAAGAAATTATACCGTGAGAAAATTTGCGGTGAATAGGCAGTTCTAAAAAGTTTTCAAAAAATATACGGGGAAATATAAAAGAAAATGCACGAATTTCAACATTTTTTTAGCGAAAAAAACCTCATAGACGTGTTCCTGGAGTCGAAATATACCACCCTTGAAAATATTTGCACTTATTTAAGACTCACCCTGTATATTTCCTGGTTATCACAAAATAAAATAATTCAAAAAATAATAAATAACAAAATCTTGTTGGATCCTTAAGTATGTCCCCGAATCATCTATGCAAGAGGAAACACTTTTTATTATTGACATTTAGACAAAAATGCATTCTTTATAAAAAAAAACTGATTGCTGTAAAACGGTTAATCTCGTTTACACTTTTTCAAATTTCCATACCGTTTTAGAGAAAAATAAAAAAACTAGGAACATACTGTTGCATTTTTTCCTAAAAGCAAGTCCTAAAAGTCGCGTTTCTATGCTAATATCATTTCATTTTCATTCTTTGATAGTTATTATAAGTTTTGATTAACATCACATTTTCTGCTATACTAAAAAATTAAATAAGCACAAAACTATCAATTAACTAACCATAACTAACCTAACCATCAATTCCAAGTTGGTCAAAGAATACCTCAGGGTTGCCACCGTCCCGATTTTATCGGGACAGTCCAGATTTTGGTCCAAGAGTCCCGCGTCCCCACGCAAAGCCCTAATGTCCCGATTTTTATTTGTTTAATAGCCACGACCTTTTTATTAAACAATAAAATTGTAAAATTTATTATTAAATATACATGTTTATTAATTTCCTGAATTTAAAACAGTTCTTTTCCAGGAATTATTAATTAAAATTTTTGAAGTTTAAGAATTAAAAGAAGTAGATATTGATACCCTGTTTATTGAATATTCGATAATAAAAACTTGCGTAAAGGAAATTTGCCAAAAAGGATATAAAAATTATAGATAAAAAAATAAAGTATTTTCAAAACTAGAGTAAATTACTTGCCTTCATTGTTTAAGGTTGTTATTTATATATTTTCACGTATGATGTTGAACATGTAGACAGACGCTAGAAATAGATGTTCAGTTAAGCTCATTAGAAGGGAACTATATAGCATATAAGAATTTTTGGATTTTATTAAAAATGAGAAGGCTCATATTATTACAGAAACAAAACAAATAAAAAATATTCATTACAGTTGGAGGTTTTGGAACCTTTGGTGTTACAACAGCACAATAAAACACTAATTTACCGCAATACACCAAAACACTTTACTTCTAACACTGGACGCTCGTTTCGCTAATCATAAATTTGAAGCTAACCATCAGTTTTCATCGCCTGCTGATGATGCTAAGTTGGTTAACGAAACGCGCGTCCAGTGCTAAAAGTATGTGTTTAATGGAAATTAGCGCACTTGTAATGGTTAATGCCTTTTTATGCTTGTGTATACTAATTATGTTATGTTTCAAAGTATTTAGGTGTATTGTGGTGAATTAGTGTTTAATTTTGCAAAAAAAATGTTCATTTAAAAATAATTAAATAAACTAATAAAGCCAATTATACAGATTATACAGCTGAAACTTTTGATTTTGTTTATGTTTTGTTCTAGTTGTTTTAGATTTAATTGATTGTACAGGGTCCGGCAATAGTGCGTCGGGCATCTGTAGCTCCTACAATAAAAAACTTGAGAATTTTGTTTTAGTGCAAACCTAAAGTATGTACCAGGATGTATTTCAGGAAAATATTTTAACTTCTATAGGGTGGCTCAAAAAAGTGTGAGCGGACCTGGATGATTTTTTTTAAATGGAACACCCTGTAGATTATTGCATTTTTGGCTTCTTTTCAGATCACTTCACATAACCCTAAGATATGAATAAATATATTTCCATAGTTTCAGAGATATTAAAAAATAAATTAAAAATATATATTTTTCAGTCCTTCTTAAAAAGATTATTAAAAATACAAGAACTGTTCTGAAATCAAAACAATATTAGGTATTTACTTTAGATGGTCTGTTCTTACTTTGCTATAAATATGGTAATCGTAATTCATACAGGATGTTCAATATTCTACGCCAAACTTTCTAAAATATAAAACATTTTTTCTTTGTTTTTTTAAATGGAACACTCTGTATATTATTTTTTTATTAGATGGAGAGTTTAAAAATGAACATTTATTGTATTTAGAGTATTTCAAAATTTTTAACGGTTTCGCAGATACACAGAGTATTATTTCATATGGCGCTTTCAATGGTAAAATACGAGAGAAAAATTACTGGGTGGCTTTGATAAAAATTTACGCGAATTAATTATTAACGCAAAAAGGCATAAAATGTTGTTTCAAAATCCGATGGGCATATAAAATTTTACATTTAAGAAAAATGGTTGCACTAGTGCTGTCCCGATTTTTTAAATATAAAAGGTGGCAACCCTGGAATACCTAGAGAAGCTGAACAAATTCGACAAAGAACATAAAGTCCTCCTACTCTACGTTATTGTATGGTATTTTACATGCTGAGCAACCATTTCTCTCTTCTCCTCCTTTTTATTCCTCAATACTACTGTGAAGTGTTTCTCAAAGTTGTACATTCTTGGTATGTCATCCAGGGGGGTGACAGTAAACCGGAAAATTGGAAACAGTTCTGGCGCGGTCCTACCCAGGCAGAAAGCATGGCCTTCTAGACTGTCCTAGACAAAAATCTGAATATTTCTATATGATTTCTGTCAATTTCTGTTACGGAACATTTTTATGCACGTCGGCGTCCTCTTCTTTTTTCTGTGTGTCAGCCATATGTCAACTCCCGAGGCCTCTGGCAAGGTCGAGCGCCATTTTAATTTTTGCCGTTTAGATTTGATAGGAAGTTTGTTTATGATATTTCGGCTGAAATTTATAGTACAAAGATGTTTTTTGATATAAAGTTCCTTGTTAACACTTTAATAAAGTATATATGATATTAATTACATAAAGAAAATGATGAAATCGACGTTTCTGCGTGTAGTAGGTATGGGCAAAGGTATGGGCAAAGGTATGGGCCATATTATATGTAAAAATAGGTAATATATTAACTGTTTTTATATTTTTTTAGCTTTAGATCCACGGATCTTGGCATATTCCTTGCCAAGGATTTTTCCGTATCTCTACTTTAAAGACTGATCGGTTATTTTGAGAAATTGAAAGCAAGTTACACAAGGTAAATTATAATTATTGAAATATTATTAGCCTACATTAATTATCTACAAGATGAACAGAAATGCGTAATTACATATCACATAGGTACCTATTATGTATTTTCATAGCAATAATGCTATGTATGTACATTATTTTTTTGTAGATTATTTTTAAAATACAAATGAGCTATTAGATGTATATTATGTATCATATTTCTTATTCATTTTATTTTCATTCAAGTCCTGTTTGATTTAATTCACAAAAGTCTTATGTGCCTATATTTATGTTTTTTTTACATTTTTTTTTTTGATTCCAGGTTTTGCGTGGGTTCCTGTTGTCTTTTTCCTGCTTCCAGTTAGTTAGTTTTACGCCCGTGAAACTGTGAAAACATTTATTTATCTTCAAGTTTCTGTAAGTCAGTGCACTGTTACTTTACTAATTCACTTTAACACAGCATCTCTGATGTTATTTAAATATTTTGATATTGATACAGTAGTTTTTGTGTTTATAGCTCTTTAATTGTGTTGATTTGCATATTTACATTGTTCTAAATTCCAAATAAATATTTTTGAGTAATTTTGTTGTATTATTTACTACTAGAAAGAGTAAAAAGTATATTAACCCTCATTTAAACCTCCTGAACAGCCCGCCATTAAAAACCGGAAACGGAAATAAATTTCATAAAATTGAAATTGTCATGTCTATGTCATGTCAAATGTCCCAGCTGCCATATTTGAAAATTAGTTACCCAGGCAGCCACGCTGTTTCCATAATTTAACATTGACTTGACACTTCTTCTTGTATTTATTATTTTATGATGTCATCCACTGGGAGTTCGCGGAGTGGAATTTTCTTTTTGAGGGTGTTCCAAGCCCCTGTTACTTAAGCCGTAGTCTCTCAGACGACGCCGGACCGTTTGTGTAAGATTTTGTGTGTGACAAACTTTTGTAAAATATGGCCGGGCCTTCGAAAAGAGTGCGTTTAGGAAACTCTAGCAGACTCTAGTGACGAAGAAACTGTATTAAAATGATATGATGAGGACTGTGACAATATGACAATCTGTCAGATAAATGCGTTTGACAATGTCAAATATTCCACGAGAAATACGCTTTACAAATGGTAGAATACTTGCAATTCCTGGACAACCAAAAACGCCTACAGAGATATTCTTATCCTAGAGTTCTTATACTAGTTAAAGACAATGTTTTGTCTTAGTTAATTATTTTTAATGTCTATAATGTACGAATCCATTGTGTAAAACATGTTCAGGAAAACAATGAACTTTGTCACATGCTGTAACTAAAAACTTTTTCTTTAACTCCAGTTTTATAACTTATTTTTTTATATAGCATTAAAAACTTATTTCTATATTGTAATGACTGTTAGAAATTTAGTTTTATTTTTTAAAGCTTAGTCAAAACCTATACGGTTTTTTTTTTTAAATTTATATGTATGCTATTATATTTTGTACTATATTTTCTTAAAGTTTATCTTAATTGAACCCATTTTTGTCTAGATTAGTTTAATAATACATAATATAATATATAATGAAATAAAAATTTGCTATTTTTTTAGTTTTTTTAGAAGGCGTAGTCACAGACTACGCCGGACCGTTTATGATACATATCTATTACCGGACCAGTTAAGGGATAACCATCTACAGTATGTCCCCGGATTATCTTTACAAGAGTAATTTTTGAGTACATACAGCATTTTAAGAATGCAGGCCTCTTTGAATATAAAAATATTCTTTTTAAATCTTTAGATCAGATATTTGTGTTTTAGAATCACTTTCTTTGGATACAATATTAATTTCATTACATTAACATAAATTAGGCTCGTCGCCTTCATATATTTTACAATATTCAAAGCTGCAACGAGTCACTTTCAAAAAGACTTAAATCTCAAGTCTTAAGTCATTTCTAAAATTAAAATGATTTAAATCGTAAGTCAGTTTGAGTATAAAGTTTAAATTATTTAAATCTTAAGTCCTTGACTTGAATCATTTTCATTCAAGTTAATTAATTTTCGAAAAGACTAGAATTATCGTCAAGTCAAGACAGCCAAAATTCAATTTAAGTACATATTTTTTAATGTTAACATAAATTTTCCTGTAATGATTGCCGATTTTCTTCTATTATCTATGTTATTAATTTATCTAAAACGAAATAAAATAAAACGGTCAATTTTCAGACAAACGAAAAAATCTTTTTTTTTTGGAAAATTTAACCGATTTTGTTGTACCACAAACTATTATATAGTTGTAATGTAATCCATTACAGATTAGACGTCATCGAATACATGTTCTTTAAAATGTGGTAATTTGTTTTGATCACTATTATATATACTCTTCGATATATTCAAGTTCAATTTACTTCGATTTACTTGATTCACTTGAAAGAAAACAGACTCAAGCCCTGTATTTCAGGAACTAAGAGGGGTAGGACAAGGGGGTGTAGCATCTTTAGTTTCATAAAAAAATAGCACAGTGAAAACCATATCTTTAAAACGAGAAACCCTATAAAACACACAATGGGACACCCTGTACAACTCTCTTATTATGTTAACCAAATAAAAACTAACATGTCTTCAAAGGGTTAGATTAGACACAATCTAAATTCCATTATTTCATAGAATTTCGTGTATATATGTATATGCTCCCCCCATCAGGCCAATAAAAACTATGGACCACCCACACCGTGGACTGTCACCGCTCGCCTCTTTTTGGAGCAATAAAAACCCGCCAAATGAGTAAATAACCAAAATGTTCTAGAGAAAGCCAAGTGTTTGTTGACACGGGTGCGTGTGAACATTAAAGCAAACTATACAAACAGGAGAACTAAGATGCCGCGCCCCCGTTTTAAATTTTATGTGTTTCATTTGGAAATATATTACCCGCAGCAGTAAAAGGATTAAAAATAAAACCTAAGGAAAACACGACAATACTATTATTGATAAAGAACGATCGATATATCCCCTCTCTTCATCGCAAGAATTTCAAAGATTTTTTTACTTCTCATACTAATAAGTAAACTTAAGCCCCGTCTAAACGTAACTGACATTACCTGTCAGTCTTACCTGCTCCGTCAAAACGTATCCAGTAAAACCTTGTGCGTAGACGACAAAACGATCCGTTTTTCTTGAACTGAAGAACTAAGACGAAAGTTTTAGTTCAATAAGATTGTCGATTGTCGTTTTGTCCACACTGAAAATAATGTGGATATATTACAACAATCGATTTATACTGGGTGTGTCTCAAAAGTGGCTCACCCCCTATAACTTTTTTATTTTCTCAGATAAAAAAAAACGAATTTTGGCATGTAAGTATATGACATTTTATTTGACAAATTAAGATTGATTGACGTATTCAATTGTTTTTGGTCACTTCCTGTTTCACCGGAAAATTACAACTTTCGATTTTTAACCCCTTGGTATATTTCTACTTTATTCGATTGAAAATTAACACTCTGAATAGAATAACATACCATACGTCAACTTTTGACATATTCGCATATGGTTTATTTGAAATTGTAACATGCGGTTCATCTGTCGTTATGAACCGAAATACCAAGTGTGTGGTACCAAATTATTCGTAGAAAAATTGCTTTTTCCAAATATACTTAATGAGCCACCCTTATTCCATTTGAAAGGCCAGGACAAGACACGAAAAACATTAGACGATGAAATATATTTTTCCATTTAAAAATCAAAAGTTGTAGTCATTTCCGGTGAAACAGGAAGTGACCAAAAACAATTGAATACGTCAATCAATCCCGATTTATGTCATGTATACATACATACGTACCAAATATAGTTTATTTATCTGAAAAAATAAGAAAGTTGTGGGGGTGAGCCACTTTTGAGGAACACCTGGTATAGCTGAACTCGGTGCAAAAGTGCCGAACTGGTTCTTCAATGATATCTAAAAAATTGCCCCAAATTTACTACATTAACACTAGTGGCGCGCCAGTGCGGCACTCATTTACCAAGATATTTGTCATTGGGTTAATTTTTATAAACACTACTTATATTTTAAGTTTAATAAAAAACCAACGCCACTGGTTAGTCCGTATACAATTCGGCCATATTAGGCTTCGTTGTCGCCAAATTTCTTCATATACTCCTCCCTTAGTCTCTTTATTCAATGATGCAAAAGTATTTTACCTTTACATGTAATATTTTAATAATCATCCAATAACAACCAACACTACATTATTACAACCTAACTTGCGTAAAGGCGTAGGAGCTGGGATAGTAGGGCCGAAACAAGGGAGATACTTCCACGTAAGCCTATCTAAGGATGTCACAATTTTCCAGGCAGAAATAACGGCAATCCACTATTGTGTAGAAGAAATAATAAGGCAACAAAGAACAAATCGTTCTGTGGCCATCTTCACAGACAGCCAAGCGGCGCTAAAGGCACTCGGCTCCGCGGAGGTCAATTCTAGACTAGTGTGGGACTGTGTGCGTGCTCTGAATACTTTGGGCGAACGTAGCACTGATACGTTGTCCTGGGTGCCAGGGCACGAGGGTCACAAGGGTAACGAAAAGGCAGATGAAAGGGCCAAGCAAGACTCATCAATGCCATTCATAGGCCCAGAACCCTTCTGCGGCGTTGCAAAGGCGGTCACGAGAATGGCCACGGAACGATGGGTGGCCAACAAATCTCTAGAATGGTGGAGAAACTCACCAGGGCAGAGACAGGCAAAAAGGTTCATTGTAGAACATTCGCCAAAATTCACGGTAGATTTGATAAGCAAGGACAGAAAAACTAACAGGGCATTGTAAGCTAAATAGGCATCTAAAGCTGATGGGACTGACAGACGAAGCTATGTGTAGGTTCTGCCAATCTGAAGAAGAAACGTCAGAACACATTTTATGTCGGTGTGACAGCCTGGCAAACGTGCGGCTCGTGGTAATAGGCAATGATAGGCCATTGCCAGGGAGCTACATGGAGGGTTCAGTCTCCAAGTTGCTAAACTTTGTGAAAATGATAGGACTGGAGAATGTAATCTAAGGATCAGAAGAGGACCACAATAGATCTGAGAAGGTCGCAGTGGATCAGGCCGAAAGCCACCTCTAAGAATCTAATCTAATCTAATCTAACCTAACTTGCGAAAACAAACTAAATATTTTATTTGTACCCCATATATTTTCCATATATTCCTTAAATGCGTAGCAAAAATTACAATACAATATTTACAGAGAGACTGGCCATAGGAATGTCAAAAATTTACAACACAAATTAAAAACATGTACAAAATAAAACTGTGTTTTATAAAATAATACTGTCGATATCTATGCTAATGGATTTTTTTTCATCAGCTCGAGGTCCGATTGCACCATTTCCTTTACCAGTTCCAAAAACGACACCTTTGGAGTCCAGCCAAAGGCCTTCTTGGCTTTGGTGGCATCGCCAAGTAGGAAATCCTAAATTAAAACAAAAAAGAATACTAACAGTTAGTTTAACACAGTTTACATTAACACTTTAAGTATAGGGTATTGACTCATTAAGTATAGGATAGGTGTTATTTCCGACGAGACCATAGTGAGTGATAGCCATCAAATAATGGGACATGTTTGGCAGGGCAGGTTCAGCACGTAAAAATTCACCCAGGAGTCTACAAGAACTTATAAGCCTAAAGGAACTTAACTTAATCAATCTCTAGAATAGCCTATTATGCCCTTTTTGAGTCACATCTTCGTTATGCCCTTTCATTCTGGGTTCTTGCTGCGCAACAAAATTTTATCGTATTTTCAAACTTCAAAAGAGAGCAGTTCGATATTTATTGGGACTGATCAGTAGAACTCACTGGTATAATTTCTTTAAAAAATTCAAAATACTCTTCCTTCTTTATTCATTTTTGAATCCGTTTGCTTAATCCGCAAGCACATATCTGCTATTCCCCAAAGGTCATCTCACATTTATCCACTTAGGAATGCGGAGCACGATCTTTATCTGCCAACCCCGAACTCAGAACTAGTTAAAGGCTCAATACTGTACAATGCCAAAAAAATATACTATCATCTGCCTTTGAATATCAAGTCGCTATCATTCTTTCCCGCATTTCGCAAAGCTCTGAAATCATACTTACTGGAGAGTACTACTACTTTTTTGTTGATGTTTAATCATGAAGAATTTTGAATTATAAAATTTTGATCATCTCACACACTGGTCAAAAGTCGAGTATTTAATATTTTATAACTCTAATTTTAAGAGGTAGAAATTATTATCCATTTACAATTTTCTTATTGTAAATACTTATTGTAAATTTTATTGATACGCCTTTTTTGTGTTCTGCAATTGTCCATGTCTATTTGTAATTTTAATGCCTTAATTTTTTTTGAATTGTATGATTTGTATTGTATATTTTTTATTATTTGTATATTTTTTGGGCTTTTGTTTATTTTGTACATTTGCTTTTGTTTATTTTGTCACGTAGAATGGCAGATTATACCTCAGCATAGGTAAGCATCTCCATGCTTACATCAACTCACGTGCTGGATATACCCTTTATTAGAGTTGCGCAGTTTACTTTTTAAAGAAAATTACTTTGAAAAATTTTTACTTTTTATAAGAATGAACTTTTAGGTTTGAAGGAAATTGCTATTATTTAAATAAAATACAAAAACCAACAAATGCAGTTTTTTCAATTAAAATGATCAATTAATTTGTCTCTAGCCTAGTTTTGACAAAATGAAGTTTATTTTCGATGATTCAAAACTTCTGAAACTATGTGTAATGTGGTTGATAGATCTGTTGAAAGAACTGCAAAAGAACTTACCACTTCAGTAGGTCTAAAATTCTTCTCATCAACTTTGACTCTGACTATTCCTGTATCTTTTTCCTTGCCGACTTCGTTTAGTCCTTCCCCTTCCCAGACAATTTCTTTTCCCACATACTTAAACGACTCCTCCACGAATTCTTTGACGCTGTGGGTTTCCCCGGTACCTATAACGAAATCGTCTGGCTTCTCTTGCTGAAGCATTAGCCACATAGCCTGAAATCGATAAGAAATCAAATTTAGTCACTAACAAATCATTTTTTAAAAATCTCAGTTAAACGATGATGCATCAATACTGTTATACAATATATTCTAAATTTATTATCAAAGTAGGTACTATAATGTAGTTATATTTCTAACAAAATAAATAATAATGTAATAAAATAGTCGGCCGATTGGCTCCATAAGAATGTATTGTTTTCACTTTGGCAACTATAGTTGACCGATGAAAAATTTCATATCAGCGTAATTATCCCCAAAAAACTCGCAAGAGGAAGACAGAAAAATGCATGATTCGTTTAGAAACACGTAAGAACTATTTTTTTTTCACTCGTCCGCATAAAATTGAAATTGTACTAATATAAAGTATAATATTTATTATAACACCTAGTACCAATATTTGGAAGTACCTATTACATGTGTCTAGTTGTAATTGATAGTCCATTAATAAAGATCGTCGTATGACAGAGTTTAGTCTAACCGTGTGTTATTTTATTGCTCTCCTGGAATTTATCTTTTTATTTTTTTTATAATATTGTAACGGATTCCGTGGGTCCACTAATTTAAACTCACGATAAAATACTTAACGGATTTATTTTTCTCGCTATACATATACACAATTTACACAACTAATTAACTATGCAACTACTATTACTTAATTTTCTAGCACCTTAGCCAAATAGTTCACAATTTTTATATTACGGAGTACTATCAGATTACAAACTTATCGTCAAAAGCATTGTTTTTCGTGATTCCAATTTTCGGAGTGGCGCACTAGTTATGTTACTAGTTTGCGCACATCGACACGCCCACTTACGGCCTCTAAAATTGTGCACAGTGCCTGACCGGCCCAGTTATTACGCTCTTTAAACGCGAGTTTATTTGTGCGCACAGGAAATTTTACTCGTTTGTTCATCGTCATAAAAAACAATTTTCGTACCACGAACTAGGGCCAAGATTTTTATCTCTATACATGTAATATACCTAATCAACCACATTAAATGTGGTACTATCCTATATCTGCTTCAACTACCGAACGCGGCTATATAAAAATCCTGCGACTGTTTCTGGAAAGTTCTAAAATTATCTGTAATTTTCGATACCCTTCTGCCATCTACCAGTAAATTCTGTTGCCTGATTCGCTTTTCTACTTGGCGCTTCAACAGAGATGGCGCTTCAACAATGTCCTCAACTAGTCCTCAACCATCAATACACGTTGCGGGTTAAAGCGTTGCATCTCTGACCCTGACAATATCTTTACAAATTATAGTCTATACGATATTCTGATGTATAAGTAATTTTAAGTAAGTTAATATTTTAATTTAAGTAGTTTCATTAAAGACCAAATTTGACCCACCCTGTACATCCATACATCTAAACAAACTTTCGCGTTTATAATACCGTATGATTGAAAAAAAACGGCGTCCAGTTGGCTTGGAAATGACGATCGATGACATTCTCCATATAATTTTACACATAAAATGACAGCGATCTACATTTTATAGCCATCGCTGACGCCGTTTTTATTCGATCATACGGTATTAGTAAGGATTGCTTTTTTCAAATATGCGATAATAGTTTTGAGTAGTGTATTTTAGCGATAACGACTGCACTGTTCTCCAACCTCGGTCTACTACCGTGTCGTACAAAAAGACGATCTCGTCAAGAGAGAAAAAAAACCATCTCGTCAATAAAAATTCGACAAATTTGCAACTGGCCAATGTAATGGCGGAGTGTGTTTTGCGGTGACATATTCGTCAAGTCAATGTGGACTCTCTGCCGCGTGTAAATTAGTAGGGATCAATAAAATATATAGCTGGTTAATTAAATGTATTTTGTAGTAAATTGATCATACTCCAATATTGTGTCTGGATTCTTGAAATTCCTTTCGTAGACACAGATCCAGTAGGCGTACATTACATATATAAACCTTTCTTATCTTTGATATCAGTTAAAATTTTAGTTACGTAATCGAGGGCACGATTTTTAAATTCACTGTTGCCAATCATGGCCATATTCAGCGCCGGGCTGCCTAACTGGAATTTAAATTTCCCGCTAGGGATTCAGGTGGTAGCTCTGCTGTAAAAAATGTCAAGTTGCCACACTTAGACAAGGAAAGAGAGGGGACGGCTAACACGCATATTCTCCCGTGATCGGTTAGTGAAGCCAAAATTCGATCGGCGGCCATACTTTGGTGACAAGATTTGGAGGTGACACCGAGCGAATTTTTATGATTTTTGTGACAACTGTTTTGTTTTAAATTTATAAACTGTATTGTTTAGTATGGAGAGATGTTCAGCGTATGGCTGCAAAGGCCGAAGCGAGAAAAAAGTGGCTGGAATTACATTTTACAGGTAAAAATCGATACACAACTTTTGTTATGTGGTCATAAAATGTACATTTTTTCATTATAGCAGTAAAAATATGTAAAATGCTTTTAATATGTTTTGTACCACATCCAAACCAAACTATTTTTAATAATTCCAAGTAGTATTTTCAATATCCTGTATTATAATTAATGTTTGAAACTATAAATAATGCTACTCAGCATGGATTTCTCCAGTGGCGTAGGGAATTATAATCAGAGAAATACAATTTCTGCAATAAACATTTTTTTATATATTTTACATGTAAAAAAATGTATAAAGTATTGTTATCAAATATGTAAAATAATTGTAAACTATAAAAAAAATAAAAATTCTAGTGATAAAATATCTATATGTATAGTTGTTATATAAAACTTAAATTTACCTGCCAAGATTTGCTGGGTGTGGATAAACCTGTGGTAGGCTACTTGTTACTACATATATTTTTTTAAATATTCGTTCAAAAAATTTGCTAATTTAGGTGTATAATAATAGTTTCAGTGAGTAATTAATAAAAATTTCAAAATAAATAAAATAACACAAAGCTTCTAGAATTGTTTATTTTTTGGTGGAAAATTAGGATATTCTTATGATTGAAGGTAACAAATATTAAAAATTACATTATTCATTGAATCCGTACGCAAGTGTGAAGGGGAATGGCTAGATTCATTATTATACCGTATGGTCGAAAAAAAAACGTAGATATTCTGATGTATAAGTAATATTATTGTAGTTTCATTAAAATCCATTCAGTAGTTTTTTTGCGTGAAAACCTGTCAATGATCTGTACGTCCATACATCTAAACAAACTTTCGCGTTTATAATACCGTATGATCGAAAAAAAACGGCGTCCAGTTGGCTTGTAAATGACGATCGACGACATTCCCCATATAATTTTACATATAAAATGACAGCGATCTTCATTTCATACCATCGCTGACGCCGTCTTTATTCGATGTCCTTTGTATAGTTTTTATGTCATTTTATATGTAGAATTATATGGATCATCGATCGTAATTTACAAGCCAACTCGACGTCGTTTTTTTTTTCGATTATACGGTATAATAATGAATCTAGTCAATTCCCTTCACACTTGCTTACGGATTCAATGAATAATGTAATTTTTAATATTCATTTGTGAAATTGTCATTTCCAAACAAACAAGACGCCGTTTTTTTCGATCATACAGTATATATGTATATACACGTTTAAAACATATGTTATTACATAATTTTTTATTTAACTATACATTATACACACTTTTTTTGTCAAATTTATTTATAATAAATAAATAATTGTCTGGATAATCAGTCCACTGTTGACTGTTAAATAAATTTTGCATTATCGACTTAGATATTCTAATATTTTAAAGGTGAGACTATAAAATACAAAATTGTATATGCATTACTCAAATATGAACGATATATTAGTTTACGTTTTAATAAATATTTTGTACCGTATAGGTACAAGCTAATTTCTGATGGTACGCCATTGGAGAATTTCGCCTGGTGACAACTTGCCTCACTTTCAGCTGCCGTGTTACCTGTCCCCTCTCTTTCCTTGTCTAAGTTGCCACATTTATTTATTTATTTCCTGACATTTGTCATTCGTTTTGACACTTTAGTTTTGTATTACGAGTTTTTGATTTAAATAAATAGTGTTGTGATACTTTAAGCTTAAAAATGTTTACTAGCAGACCTTGCAGTCGAACAGTGTTTTTTTAGAACCTCTTTTAGTGCGAAGTGTACAAGATAATAGCCGTAAAAAACTCATCGCAACTTTATTAGAATATTTTGAACGGGAAAGGGGTAGTAATGGCCTTTTACGCTCCTTAAGTCCTGTTAAGAAGGTGAGATTTGTTGATGTAAATAATAACCGTATAAATAGTAACTATATATTTATAATTAATCTATTCTTGTTTCCTAAAATATTTTGATTAAAAGAACGGATGTAAAAGTAGGCAACGCTGCACATACAGGTATTTTAACATTCTAGCTGGCCAAAATTATCAAATAGGGTTTTTGGGTGTTATATAAAACTTGATGCTAAATTAGACTAATTTAAAGAAAAATACTCCTTTATAAAGGGTTTTTGGTTGACAAAATCTAGGGGATGATGGCGTCGGATTTTGCCAAATCACATTTTGGTTCAAGTCACATATAAGCTTGATGGTACAAAAGAACTTTGAAAGATATTACAGTCAGAATCTTCCTCGCAACTAAACTTTTGCTAAAATTGTGACTACTGGGATCCATCACATCCCCATTTACATATCAAAACTAGATTTGTACATTCTTGTTCACTTAGCAATTCCAAAATGTCCTCAAGATAAATGAGTAATCGTAAAACTGTATGATCCATTAGATCTTGTAATCTAATTTCAGCACAAGTTTCGGTTACCCTAAACGCTAAATGCACCTTTATTTGGGTAACAATCTTTCTTGGCGGACTGCAAAGGACTATAACAGGGTTTAGGTTAACCTTTTGTTTGTACTTCTAATAATTTCATATTGACGTCTTGATAGATCTGCGTCCACCAGCATTGACAACGCATTTAAGGGAGAAGTCCTTTTTTTGCTCTTTTCCAATTATAGAGTTTTTATACTCAGTGCCTTTTGCGGGATTACTGAT